TCGCGCCGCGGAAGGATGGGTGAAGTGAACTCCGCGCTCCGCGGCTCCGCGGCGAGAAGGGCCAGGGCGCGGCGGCAGTGGCGGCACCGCAAGGCACAGGACTGAGGACTGAACTGACAGTCAGTCAGTGGGGCGCGGTGCAGCGTCGGGAAAGCACGCGTCGGGAACGCAGTCACGCTCACGACAGCGGGTCCTTCTCCGCCGTGACGAGCGGACGAGGACGAGACGAGTTGTTGGTTGTTAGCGCCGCAGTGTGAGAGAAAAGCGGAGTCGCCATGGGCGAAGTCGAGGAGGAGATCGTCGTCCAGAAGATCGCCACCGACGTCCAGGACTACCGGCCCCTGTGGTCGTCCTTCGGCTTCAAGGATGTAGGTACCAGTGGCCACACCTGGCCAGCGCGAGGCGCGGCCGTGGTACCCGCCCTGGCGGCGTCAGCGTCTAGTGGCGAGTAGGTTAGACGGGCGTTGTCGGCGTTCAAACTGTGTCAGTGTCTTTCAGGTTCGCTTAATCGCGATGGATGAGAGGTGGCCGACCTGGGAATGCGGGGGACGGGGCCCAACCGGCGAGGCCCCGTGTCGCGGGGAAGGGTTGGGCCGTGGGGTATCGGGTTACGCGAATAAAAAAGAAAACACCAAACAGTCGACTCAGTGACACGTTGAGGTTAGGTCTGCCTGCTGGCGCGCCTCTAGCGGGCCTCGGCTCGGGCGTTGTGCCGTGGCGTGTGCCTGGGGCTCCCTGGCTGGAGGTCGCCCTCCCAGCCGAAGGGCCTGAATGAGTTGATTTTCGCCCTAACGGCGGCCTCAGGTTTCAAGGGCAGCTCTGCGACGGTGACGTCAACCATCAGCTGTGTGGTCAAGGGCGACCGTGACCGCGATCGCCAGCGCGCCGCCGCAGACACTGGCTCGACTTGTGCGAGACTCGGCATGGGATCGTGAATGGAGTGGCCTATTCTAGGATCAAACGTCCAACCGAGTCGATTTAATGATCATCACGAAACGGACATCTGCTTTGTTTTCAAAATTTGTGTATGTTTTGGTGTTGTGCTGCCAACCTCTGCCGCAGCGCGCCGCATCGGGTTCCCCGTTCAGGAAGCGACTGTTTTGCCAGAGCTTTTCCTCTCCGCGAAACGAGAGTGACTCATCTCTATAAATGCCGCGGCCGCGAGCCGCACGACGCCGCGGCGGCGCGTCCAAGGCGGCTCCGGCGACGAGTCGGATCGCGCCGCGCGTCGCGAGGTTGGCAGTGCGTGGCGCCTATCGGGCCGGAAACGGGGAGCGATCGCCCGGAAAGGGGCGGGGCGGGGCGGCGCGCGCGCAGATTTTGAATGGCGATGAAGCGTCTCCGGCGGCCGCTGTCACCGTCACCTGTTGCCCCTTGCCGCTTGTTGTCATCCTTATCAGTCCCACGGAGAGGCTCGGAAGTGCGTCAGCCTTTCCTTGTCTTATCAGGCGGTTCGTCCTTCCCCAACCCCTGCGTGTGCAGCCTCCCCACAGTGGGCCAGAAGACCGACGGAGGTGGCCAAAATCCTAGACTCGTTTCGAGCTCCAGAGTCGCTCAAACAGACTCGAACTGAACAAGTGACCCCACCAATGGATTCCTCGTTCGGAGAGCAATCCATTGGTGGGGTCACACGTTCGGTTCGAGTCCCATTTAGCGACTCTGGAGCTCGAAACGCGTCTCGAGTTTTGGCCGCCTCCACCGGCCTTCTGGCCCACTGTGCTCCCCGGTGTCGCTCTCCTAACCTAACCTAGCAGTGAGCGCGCGCTTTGCTTTTCCGCGGGGAGTTGAAGGACGGTCCCTGCCGTGCGGGCGTGAGCGGCGGAACAAGGGAGGGGGGGGGGCGTCCGGTGGTTCACACGGGTCGTAACGAGGAGCCGGCTGCGCGCTCCGCTCCTCCGCGCAGTACGCAGATGGGAAAGGAGTGTAAATTTAGAACAAACCCTCCGCGTCTCACCGACGCCCCGTCGTCTCTCCAGCCCCGACCAGCGCCGCACTGCAGTGGGCCAGAAGACCGGTGGAGGCGGCCGAAACTCAAGGCGCGTTATGAACACGAGTCGCTATAAATGGAACTCGAACCGAACGTGTGACCCCACCAATGGATTGCTCTCCGAACGAGGAATCCATTGGTGGGGTCACACGTTCGGTTAGAGTCCTGTTTAGCGACTCTGGAGCTGGAAACGCGTTCGGGGTATAGCCCACCTCGACGGCCCACTGTGCGCCACGCCTTGCGAGGGGCCTGACTGAACCCCGATGCACCCGATGTGTTGAGACTGGACCAAGTATCTTGACGAAGGAGCTCCGAGTAGGGAGCGGCCGTAAAGCCCAAGCTCAGTGGGGTCCCGGTCCTGCTTGAACTCGTGCCTTCCTTCCCTCTATGGGCAGGCCGGGTACCGGGCGCTGAAACCGTGCCAGCAGTGCCAGCGTGGTCCGACGGGCAACATGGCCCTGCAAGGCCCGCATAAAACGCGTCGCGTGGACCTCCTGCAGCATAGCCAGGGGAGCGTCCGTCAAACACTTGGCGGATTTTAGCCTAAATTTTTCGGGCTCCCCTGCCTTTGCTTCGACACCAGTTCGAGTTAGAGACGTGCCAGTGGGCTGCTTGCAGCATTATCCTCACTACCACGGGCTGGTTTCGAATAGTGCTCTCTCTCTCTCTCTCTGACATCCTCACGGGGGAAGGCCCACGAGTGCGACGGAGACAGAGCGAAGACGCACTGTGCGGATTCGTTCTGCAGTCTGTGTGATAAATCTCGCAGCCCCGTGGCCCACATGTCCGTTTGTTTGAGATGCCATCTAATGAAAGGGCTTCTGCCCGTGTCCCATCAGGTCTCGCGGTCTCGCGTCGCGCCGGCCGACACAGAGCCCCCGCCCCGCCCCGCCCCACCCCGCCCCACCCCGCCCCGCGGATTGTAAATTGTAGGGGCCTGCTTGGCTCGCCGCCCGACCCGCCCTTTGGGGCGTCGCGGCTGAAGCCAACTGAAGCTAGACACTGTCATTCAGTTCATCGAACTGCCTGCTCCCTTGAGCTTAGCTACTCGGGGGAAGGTGATTACCATTGATTTTCGGTCCGCGGTGGTTCGAGCCCCGGCTGCTACTCCGCCGGGTAGCTTTTGCTCTAGACTTATTCCGAGACTTGTTTTCGTCGCTGTGTCTCTCTCTCTCTCTCCTCTATACGAGACGCCGCGTGATTGCGAGAGAGACAGAGCGACGAAACAGACTCTCTCGGACTGCTGAAGATCGATCTTGACCGCCGATTCTTGCGGTGTGGGCGAGGAGGTGGGGGGTCCTTGAAGGCAACGCGAAGTAACCATTCAGCCATCCAGCGCGCTCCGCCAAGGCATGCGGCTCGTCTCAGTCCGAGGAAAGACGGAGTTGGAGCCCAAAAATGTACTTTTATTCTCGTTTTTTTTTGGCATTGTCGCTCACGCGGTGGCGAAAAATGACCTCGCCTGGACTTCCCCTCCCCTCCCCCCGCCCCGCCACGCCCCCAGGCCGCAGGGACGCAGCGGCAATGGGGTCACGTGGTCACGCACAGCCCTTCAGCGCCCTCCAGCCCTCTCGGGGCACGGCGGCGGGGTCGTGGGGGCGGCCAGTAGACTGATTCAGAGTCGTTTTCGTCGCTCTGTCTCTCTCGCACCTGTGCGGGACGCGCCATGAGTGCGAGAGAGACAGAGCGAAGAAAACGGATCAGTCTGTAGCCAAACATTTGCTCCGTCTCTCGGAATTAGGTACGGCCCACGAGTGCGAGAGAGACAGAGTGACGAATGCTCCGCTGCAGACTGACTCCGAGAATCGTTTTCGTCGCTCCGTCTCTTTCGTACTCAAGGGGCGTCCCGTGTAGTTGCGTGAGAGACAGAGCGACGAAAACGACTCTCGGAATCAGTCTGCTGGCCCCAGGCCGGTCTTCGTGGTCTTCCCCGATCGGCCTTGGCAATGAAAGCGAGAGTGAGCGGGGCGCGGCCGCGGCGCCTGCACTCTGAATGGAGCAAAGCTGTTTACATGCCACGCTGCAGCTGGCGCGGCCACGGCCAGTCGGCCAGCCACGGCGCACAGTGGGCCAGCAGACCGGTGGAGACGGCCAAAACTCTAGACGCGTTTTGAGTTCCAGAGTCGCTAAATGGGCCTCGAACCGAACGTGTGACCCCACCAATGAATTCCTCGTTCGGAGAGCAATCCATTGGTGGGGCCACACGTTCGATTCGAGGCCCATTTAGCGACTCTGGAGATCAAAACGCGTCTAGAGTTTTGGCCGCCTCCACCGGTCTTCTGGCCCACTGTGCGGCGCTGCAGCTTGCCAGGACTGCAGGGCTGCCAGGTCCGCGCTCGCAGTGGCTCGCAGTCACTCACGGGACGGGTCACGGCGGACCGGGGGAAGGGTAGGGGGAAGTGCCACACCCAGTGGCCAGCGCCAGTGCGGACAGCGCGGACTTTTCGGCGTCGGGAACGGCTATGAAGTTCCCGTCGAGAACGCAGAACGAAATTTTGGGCGTTCCCTTCCCCTTCTCTATGCATTAAACGACCTTCCTGTACACTGCTTTCTAAACGGCCCTGACTCCCTGACTCTGTCCGTCGTAGCCCTTGCGTCCGTCCGTCTGTCTGTCATCTGCCGGTCCACCGTCTGTCTGTCTGTCTGTCCGCCCGTCCGTGTGTCTGTCTGTTCGCCTCGTCTCGGATTCTCCGGTAGAGTCCCGGCAGGTGACTTCACCTTCACGCTGTGACGTCATATCAAGATGAGCGTGTGGGCGGGGCCGGTCCAGGATCACGCTTGCTTGTACAGTATTATTTTTGTCTCTCTCGGTCGTTAGTTTGACTCGACTATGGCGAAGCCCGCCTGCTCTGTGGAAACTCGATTGTCACAGCCTGCCTCCTCGTGGAATTCCCCTTGCCTGAGATCACATCAGTGTGGGGGCCTCGAGTAAATCACGTTCAGTTTTATCTCACAGGATGGATGTTTCCAAGCCAGGAAAAAGTTAACTTTATTTCCTTGGTTGCTGTTTCAGGTTGGAGAGAAAGGATCTGGCATCAGAGCAAGGGGCGAAGTCCAGGACTTCCACAAGATTCAAGCGCAGTGTTTGTCGGAAGGTGTTCTGTGGGAGGATCCAAATTTCCCAGCGGTAGACTCTTCTATATTCTACACGAGAGGACCACCAAAGCCATTCGAATGGAGAAGACCAGGGGTGAGTTCCCTGTATTTTAAGTGACCAGCATACTCTAATTGAAATTAAGTTGCCTTTTATTAACTTAAGTCTTTGTGAAAAAATTGCAGGAAATTACAGGGGACCCACAGTTTATGGTGGATGGTGCCTCTCGGTTCGATATCCAGCAGGGAGAGCTTGGTAAATTATAAAGACATCCCCTTTATAAAATTTGAGAAACCTATTGTAAAATGTAACACGCTATAAAATAAAATGTATGCATTTGCAGGAGATTGTTGGCTGCTGGCAGCTGTAGCAAATCTTACCCTACACGATGATCTCTTCTTCCAAGTCGTTCCAGATGATCAGGGATTTGAGGGCAATTACTGTGGTGTATTTCATTTCAGGTAAGTTTACCTTGCTGTCAGTTACGGTCATTATCATGTCTTAAATCTAAAAATTTCCCTTTCTCCTTCCTTTTTAGGTTTTGGCAGTATGGTAGATGGCTGGATGTTGTAATAGATGACCGTCTACCCACAGTGTACGGTGAACTAGTATTCCTCCACTCCGCAACTAAAAATGAATTCTGGAGCGCACTTTTAGAAAAGGCATACGCGAAGTGAGTTATGAACTGGGTTAGCAGTCGGTGTTGACAGTAGGAAAACTCCATTGACTCACTTTCTCTCTCTCTCTCTCTTTCTAAAGGCTGCACGGGTCGTACGAGGCGCTCAAGGGAGGCACCACCTGCGAGGGCATGGAGGACTTCACTGGCGGAGTGACTGAAATGTACGAGCTGAAGGAGGCGCCCAGCAACCTGTACAAAGTGCTCCTGAAGGCCTACGAGCGCTCCTCGCTGATGGCGTGCTCCATCGAGCCGGACCCCTACGTGACGGAGGCGCGGACGGACTCCGGGCTGGTGAAGGGCCACGCGTACTCCATCACGCGCGTGCAGTACGTGGACGTGCAGACCCCGAGGCGGAGCGGCAAGATCCCCCTCATCCGCCTGCGCAACCCCTGGGGCAACGAGGCGGAGTGGAACGGACCCTGGAGCGACCAGTGAGCTCATTTAAACTGTCATTTAAACCGGAACCGTCCCTCTTCGTGGCTGTCTCCAATGCAGTTTCTTTCATTGTCCATGCCAGGTCACCCGAATGGAGGCTCATCCCAGACCATTCAAGAGAGGAGATTGGGCTGACCTTTGACGACGATGGTGAATTTTGGATGTCATACGAAGACTTTTTAAAACATTTCACTCAGTTGGAGATGTGTAACTTGAGTCCAGATTCCATGGAAGATGATAACATTAAGAAATGGGAAGCCAACACATTTGAAGGAGAATGGGTCAGAGGTGTCACTGCTGGAGGATGCAGGAACTACCTTGGTATGCTGAAGATATTGATTACTTTGCAATACTGCAGGTGTTCTGATTTATTGGTGGCTTCAATTTGTTCTTGTTTCCTATTTTCGCTTTCAGATACGTTTTGGCACAATCCGCAGTACAGAATTACCTTAACAGACGTTGATGAAGATGATGATGAAAACAGATGTACTGTAATTGTAGCTTTAATGCAGAAAAACCGGCGTGCTCAGCGTAAAAAAGGAATGGAATGCCTCACTATAGGATTTGCAGTATACAATGTATGTGTTTTTAACTCATTACTATTATTATTATGAAGCTATCTTATATTTTAATATTTTTTAAACTTTGTTTTGCAGCTGGGACATGATCCTGATAGTTTACCAAAGCCATTGGATTATAACTTTTTCAAGTACAATGCTTCTTGTGCAAGATCTCCTTCTTTCATCAATCTACGTGAAGTTAGTTGCAGATTTAAGCTTCCTCCTGGATCTTATTGTATTGTGCCATCCACATTTGAACCCAATGATCAGGGCGAATTCCTTCTCCGAGTATATTCAGAAAAGCGTAATAACATGGAGTAAGTACTGAAAAAGGCTTATCATGGTCTCTTGTTCAACAATTAAGGAGCTTTCTTTTAAAAACTCACTCCTATTGCATACAATTTCTTACAAGCATTTCATTTCTTTTACAGGGAACATGATGAAGAAGTTGGCATTGGTCACCTTGATCCTAGAGTAAGCAAAAAAACAGACTCTTTGTGTCAAATAGACTCATTCCTGGTTTTGTGCGTGGGATTCTTATTCATCGTTTGAATTTTTAGGTGAAGGATGAGGATGAAGACACTGAGCTAGCTAAGAAGGATGAAAAGGTTAAAGCACTGTTCCTCAAGCTGGCGGGTGAGGATGGTGAGGTTGACTGGATGGAGCTGAAGGAAATCATGGACTACACCATGCGGAACGGTATGTGAAGCCGGGCATTTATTTCCCTCGCTATTGCTTTCGAAATTTACGATCCCTCTGAACTGATGTGTTGTATTTTCTATCAAGCTTATCTGTGTGTGTGATGAAGCATTTGCAGCTGTCTTTCATTAAATTTAAATCCGTCTTCATGAAACCCTTCCTTGCGCAGGAATGAAAAGTACCTATCCAAATTTAGATTTTATGAGGGATTGCAAACTTCGCCTGCGATAGCTTAACATTCTCCTGCATCTCACAAACCAATCTAAAGGGTGCTGGAGGCAGCCTTCTTTCTTTTAAATTGATCTGCACTAAACTTCCGAATGCGCTCATTGCCCTCTGAACCATCACTTACTCACACACTACTTCTTACATGGCACAATATGTTGCACTTTGACCATGGTGTGAGAACATCCTAACTTTCCAAACCTTAGACATAGAATGTACCCTACAAATGTAGTTGTGCACCTTATGTGGTGAAGGTAAAGTTAAAGTTTTGGTGACAGCTCTTATTTGAACAGTTCATGTGGGATTGTCAGGGATTTTTGGGCCCAAGAGCCATTGCAAATTGGTAGAATGGTTTTATCATAGTGTTTTTCTGCATTTTTCTAGGTTTTGTGGTTATTGTGGATTCCTGTTTCATTTTTATATATTTTTTTTATTCTTATAGGATGATAGAAGGGAGCTGTTGTGCTGAAAAATTGCGTTACTTTTGAATTATTTTGGTTCTCAAGAGAAAAAGACATTGAAGATATTTTAATTTACTCTGCACTTTTTTTTTAATGGTTGAATACGGAACATCACATGTCTCACTCTAATTGCTGCAATACTCATTATTTTCTTTTTGTTTGTAAATGATTAATTTTTAAAGTAGTGGGTTAGCAAAATAATTTCTCCCTTTTAATAATGAACAGCCACATCCCATATCTAACTTTGAGGTGTTTTCAATGGTTACCATGAACAATTCCAATCAAAAGTAAATTTATTAATTTGTGTGTAAATTTTAATGTTGTCCCTTAGTCGTTTTTTTGTTGCTGTTTGTCCTGATCTGTTTGTTCTACATGAGTCTGTCTGGCATGTGTGGTGGTCCAGTGTGATGTGTGTGTCTTGCCGGGGAGGTGCATCCCTGCTCGCCCTTTCAGGCGCAGTACAGCGTTGAGCTCTAATCCTTGCCTGCTTATGATTATGTTGCTAGAGCTGCCCAGTAGACCTAGACCCCCGACCCATCAGCAGATTGCACCTGCGGAAGATGACACCCTGGTTGGCCAGCTGGTTAACCTGTTGTGTGGAGTCATTTGCAAGGATACACCATTTGGTGCGGCATTTGCCTCTGGTGGCGAAGGACATGCCGCTGGTAAGACAATTCTAATTGAGGAGAAAGCAAAGCATTTGGAATCCCACTGCATACCTGGAGGTGGCTTTAATTGAAGCCAGTAGATTAAGTTGATCTCCATTCTAAATCCCAACAAAGACACACTAACTGCCTTTTTCTGAGCTACATTTACCATCCAGGGTCCTTGTCCTTTGTTCTTAATACTCATTTAAGATTACTAATGAATACGGTTGCTGATGAATATGTTGAATAATTTGTATGTATCACATCCCTCTTTAATGTTTTCTGTGATCTACCATCTGCTGCAAGACCTCTACTAAATTTACCAAATTAAAATAATAAGTAACCTGTGTGTCTAAAAAATCTGTAAATAATAAGAATTAGCTTGTCACATTTTTATGGTTTTATGGTTGTTTATTAACTATTTGTGGAACACTATTAGCCAAAAACCATAAGCTTTGTAATGTGGTTCTGTCAATATTCTGCTGTGCTTTTGATGTGCTCTCTTGTAATTATTTTCTGCCTGGCCGCCATACAGGCTAGCCTGAAGGCAAGGAAAATGTCTCAAAGTCTGTCTCTCTCTGTCTGTTTGTGCCAAGGTAAACCTGTCTAAAGAGCAAGGGAAGGCACAGAGCACTTAACTTTACCGCTACTAAGTCCTGCTGCTTTAGCAATCATGTGGGCCCACTGGGTTTGATTGATATTGAACTGAAGCAAATGTTGTCGGCTTTACAAATTTAAACTCTGCTAAGTAAAGTTTCTTTTAATATTGAAACTTTAAATTCCATGTTTCCTTTTGCAGACACGCGATCATCTGGCTTTGCTAAGGAAGTTTGCCGCAGTATGGTTGCCATGATGGATGCTGATCACTCTGGCAAGCTGGGATATGAGGAGTTCAAAATCCTTTGGACAGATATCAGACACTGGAGGGTTAGCAAAGATAATTTTTTTGATCTATTCATGTGTGTTTAAAAAATAAAAAATTAGTTTCTAACTAATTGGTACATTTTTAAATTTCAGAAAGTGTTCAAGCTTTATAGCAAAGAGGGCCAAGGGTTCTTGAGTGCATTTGAGCTCAGGCAAGCTCTCAATTCGGCTGGCTATCGCCTCAACAACCACATCCTGAACATCTTGTTCCACCGATATGGTGCTGCAGATGGCACAATTACATTTGATGACTTTATGATGTGTGCCATTCGCATGAAAACCATGATAGGTACGTTTCCTTTCCCTATTTTTGTTTGGTTTTACATAAATCTTGTTTCTCTGCCTGATTTTGTTTTTTTCCTGTCATCAGATCTGTTCAGGGAGAGAGACCCAGATAATACCAATACTGTTTCTTTCTCCCTTGAAGAATGGATGGAGAAGACACTCTACTCATAGTCAGTGCTTCACTTCTGGACACATCTCTACATTTCTCTTGCTTTTGTACTTCAGCTCTATTTTCTTACTTATCAATGTTCTCTACATAATGATATTATTAACTTAATGTTTTCATTGTTTTTGGAACTGTCCAACCAAGTGGTATTGATCTTAATGGGGCTTCGGCGCTCACTGCCTGGTCAATTGTATTATATCTGTTATAATTTAATTTTTGTTTTGTTTTTGGCCTGTGAAGCCTGTATCCATATTTTTTCAGGCTGCTTTGTTGTTTATTGTCGTTTAATTGTCACCCTCTGCCAATCTCTGTTAACAGGGTGTTTGCCTTTGAGAATTGTGTGATGCTATTTAATAATTAATTTAACTGTCTATTTTTCTTTCTTGTGCTTCCTGATGTAAGAAGAAAAGATTTTACCTCTTAATGTCGTGTTTACTTTCAATAAATTTTATTTTATTCTTTTGTACATTACTGCTTGATTTCTTCCTGTCTTCCTAAATATTCACTAGGAGTGTTGTCCTTGAAGGGACTGCAGGCTGAGGCAAGCTGAAGCCCTACGACACCGCTACACCCGTATCGAACGTACCTGTTTGTGGCCACACTAACACTTCTTTTGTGGCCACACTAACACTTCTTTTGCCGACCATCCCAACTACTTGCTGACGGGTGACCTGGAAATCCCACCTCAAACTTTGTCTTGTTCGTCTTGTGCACTCTTCAGCGCCTGCGGGACCGCAACACACCAGCAGGCAGAGGGTGGCCTACCTTGCCCCTGTGAAGACGACAGGGGCATGGTAGGCCACCGTCTCCTCACCAGTGCCTTGCGGGCCCATCCGATGACCTACCTTCCAGGCGTTCAAAACAAAAGCGAGCATTTGTTGCGAGGGGATGACACTGGGGCTGGGAGTCGTCAAGAATACCCTGACAGCACAAAGAAGCCATTTCTAGGAGAACCCTTATGTTTAAAAGATCGCGCCAACTCTCGCTTCGATGGATCGATCTCTATGCCACCTTTCACCCACCACAGGTAGTACAGTACGCAGTCGTCTGCTACAACTCACAACTCCTCTCTCAATCAGCACCATATCAGCAGAAAAAGCTTGTTCATTCTTTGTGGAGCCTTGAGGATCCTTCACTCACTCGCTAGTCTTCGCAGACAGCTTCACTGTTGACTCAATCGACCTTGAGGCACACGTAAGTTAGAATCAAACGTTCTAGGTAGGCTGACCGGTGAACGGAGGTTGGTGACGAGTTGTCATAGGAAGTTCGAAACACTGAAATTCTGTCGAAGATGTGTTGAAGTTTGGTGTCAGTTCTTTAAATTAATCATACCTTTCAGTAAGAAAATTAATTTTGTTGCTGACGTCGAATTATTGTGTTTTGAATGTATTTCAATGAAAATTTGTCAAGGTTAGGGTCTCATTTTTATTGCGAATTTGGGCCTCTTTGACAAGCAAGCTGGTGTAAATGTAAATGGGGTTCACTTCATGCATTTATTTTCTTCTCGACATAATATAAAACTAGTTTCAAGCTTATTCGTGACTGTAAAAAGAAGAATTTAACTGTCGCAACTTTGTTTTAGTATTGTTTTTTTTTTTGTTTCCAATTGTTTCTCATAGGTTTAATGCTCATTCCACTTGTCCAGGGAATTCGAAAGTTCGCCATGAGTGCTGCTCAGAAACCTCAAATTGTGTTTGTTCTTGGAGCGCCAGGCTCTGGGAAAGGAACAATTTGCAAGAACATTGTAGAGGTAATATTGGTTTGTTCTAATTTGGCTTACCTTGAAACTGAATATTTTTTGATTGCATTTAATTTTCTTCATTAGAACTACAAATTCATCCATTTGTCTGCGGGGGATTTACTACGTGAGGAACAAAATACTGAAGGTTCGGAACATGGAGACATGATCAAGGAATATATCAAACTTGGCAAAATTGTTCCTGTTGAAATCACCTGTGGCCTTCTGAAAAAGGTGTGGAAATAGTATTCTAAGCTCTGGAACTAAAATGCCAGCATAAGAATTGTATCTGAAAATTGTTTATCTTTTCCTTTCAGGCTATTGAGAAGTCAGGTGCCTCTCGATTCCTTGTTGATGGTTTTCCTCGCAACCAAAACAATTTGGATGGGTGGGAGAAAGTCATGTCACAATGTGTAGATGTAAAGTTTGTCCTGTTCTTGGACTGCAGTGAAGAGGTAAATCAGATAAAGAGGTTGTCATCCACTTACTGTTCATTTGGATGCTTCCTTGAGCACATAGTGAGTTCTATTGGTTTTGAACTGTGATGGATAATGTGGTATCGTTCAATGTACCTGCAGGTTTGCACTGAAAGGTGCCTCAATAGGGGAGCCCAGGGCAGTGGTCGAACTGATGACAACCTGGACTCCTTAAAGAAAAGGTTTAACACTTACTCAAATGAAACAATGCCTATTATCAAGTATTATGAAGGTAAAGGTATGGTGGAAAGAGTCGACTCCAACAGGACTTTACCTGAGGTAATTTTTTTTTCTCTTCAATTACTTTTAGATGTTATAATCTTTCCTGCTCGATTTCAAAGGTGTCAAGCAACACTGAACTAAGGACTTCTGTTTTTCATTTTTCTGTTTCAGATTTTTGAAGACATCAAGAAAATCTTCACTCCTTTCATCTCCCAGAGTTAATCCCTCATCAGCGTCAATATTAATCAATGCCTGCCATGCAGCTGAAGTTCACCCAACATCTTGTCAAGAGATCTTCTCTGAAGAGCATTCCCTTTTATTTAGGAATCTGGTTGGTACATTGTAGCTGGTGATAATGATCATTTAGAATTCAAGATTCCAGTCATTCCAAGAGTGAGAAAGTTGATAAAAGTCACAAATTTGAAAAAAAGAAGTTTTCCTCCATATCATAATTTAAAACTTGTCTTTTCTTGCCATGTTTATCATTTGGTGCGTAGTGTTCTGGGGTAGAAGTCTTCCCTACTTCTCAAGTAGGGATATTTTTGAAACTTTATTTTTCCTTGCGGGTAATAATTTGCTATGAGGCAATCACTGTTGTCAGTATGAATAAATTAATTGGAATTCTTTACTGAGAATTTTTAGCATGTGTTAAAGTATTATAATCTTGTCATAGTGTGCTTCATTTTACCTGACTTAGCATAATAAAAAAATGAAGCCCTTAATTTTGTAGAAGGTATTGTCACAGAAAAACTCAAATCAATGTGTGTTTGCACCGTTCAATAGGATGAAAGATCAGCATAGTGATTGTTTTAGGATAATTTTATTTTAAAACTTTTCTGAATGATTCTGCTTGTTGATCATTAATATTTCTTATGAATTTTTTCTCTTCTTTTGTAAAGCTAGCAAGTGGTGCTGGCAGTAGTTCCTTGAGGAATAGAAATTATTGCTCATGTATGATTTAGTGTCAATAAATACAGTGATGATCACCAAGATTTGAATCTTTATTTTTCTACACACTGTACACAGTTATACTTGTAAATTACTCAAAGGGCAGCGGGATTTCTGCTCGGTTCGGGCCACATATAGTATGTCTAGAGCTGGTCTAGTGTCGAGTCTGTCTAAAGTTAGAGGAGAGGACTCTATCTAGTATCTAGATATCTATTATCTAGAGTCTAGGGTGGGAGCTGCAGACAATATTTTCATACTCGTCTATAGCCTCGCTTGGGGGCGAAAACGCATGAAGCGCCGCGCCGATCTTGATTCGGCTTTCTGCTTGCCGATCGGTGTTTCACTGCGCTGTTCTCTCCCAGAGGTTAATGGATGTCAATTAGAAGTTGGTCCACTGTCGGGCAGCGGTCTGGCTGCTGCGTCACTGAATGTCATATGTTTCCTCGATTTTTGTCGTCAGGAACCCCCGTAAACAATCAAGGTGATGTGCTTCCCTGATTGGTGGTCGGCTCGGTCGGCTTTCCCCCCTCCCCCTACTAAGCACCGACTTTAAACATTGTACCATGCTCGTTTTTCACCTGTGTATGCATGTATACTGCAGGAAGAAGGTGAAGGACGGAGTAAACATACAAAATGAATGAGCAAAGTGATAAGCATGCAGATAGAGTGGATCTCGACTTATCTAACACAAGTCAGCTGTTACCTGCTGAAGAAAGGCAGAATGAGGGAAGGTTGACCAACGAAGAAACTACTGATGCTAAATGCAAAAACTGTGATAACAAGGCTGTTGGGTGCGTTTTATCTTTCAATTATTTTGTTCGTGCATGCAACTTCAAGTTATTTGCTTAATTTGTATTTGCTGTTTCAGGCGCATGGGCAAAATCATGGCTGGGGTTTCCCCAACGACAATGTGCCCTTCAATGACAAAGCTGCATTTTTTTGCTACTCGCGTTGAAATTTATGCCATGCTAGGTGCTCTTTTGTATGTCCTGATTTCTTTCTCCTGGGCTGAAACTGTCCGTGATCCTATTCTGCAGCTTGCTGGTCTGTTTGTCCTGGCTCAAATATTTGGCATTCTAGTGGAATTTGTCCATCTCCCTCCCTTGTTGGGCATGCTTATGGCTGGAATTTTTCTTAGGTATATGAACTATTTTCATGCTGAAGGGACTTTCTTAAAGTTGACTTCTACCATAAGGTATTTTTAATTAGTGGAATGACAGTGCACTCCCAAAAAATAACGTACTCTTTCTCACGCCTTCTTTTGTTTTGTTTAAAATTTTACAGAGCATGTGCAATGACTATGATATTGTTACGTGCAGGACTTGGACTTGATCCATCTGCATTGTGTCGCCTGAGCACAGTAGTTTTACGACTGGCTATCATCCCTTGCACATTAGAAGCAATCGCAATAGCTGTTGCCTCTCACTATTTTCTGAATTTTCCGTGGCTGTGGGGATTTTTACTAGGGTGATTCTTTTTTTAAAAATCTGTTGGAATTTTATGACAATGTTTCATAAAATATTACAAAACTTTAGTTAAAAAATAATTTTTTCTCTGCTTTAGCTGTGTTCTTGGTGCCGTATCTCCTGCTGTAGTAGTACCATCCCTATTATGGCTGAAATCTGAGGGCTATGGAGAGAATAAAGGCATAAGCACTCTAGTGACTGCAGGTACTTTGCTGGACAACATTTTTGCAATCACTGTATTTGGAATATTTCTTTCTGTGATATTCTCACAAGGTAAGAGCTTATAAAATTTTCAAATCCACAATTTTTGTAAAATATCTTTTTCTGTTTCACTCTCTTTCTCTTCAATTTGCAGGTTCCATTGCAGCAACTGTGATGCAAGGTCCTCTGGAAGTATTAATTGGAATAACATGGGGAGTTTTGATGGGAGTGATATCCATTTACATCCCTCACTCTGAAGATGTAAACATACTGACTGAAGTAAAATGATTTTTATAATTAAATTATCACTGTATTAAATGTTTTATTTTTTCTTTGTTAGAAATCTGTAATTTTGTCACGCACAATAATGGTTGGTGCAAGTGGACTTTTGGCAGTGCTCGGAAGTCAGCTGGTTGGCTACCCAGGTGCAGGCCCCCTTGGTTGTATAGTTGGTGCCTTTGTTGCTGGTTGTGGTTGGAGAGCTTTCAGTCCAGTTTCTACATATGTAAGTCTACTGCTTTGTTCACAAGTTAAATTTCAACACAATGCAATAATTAACTCGTTATTTTAGGAGCCTGTGCTGCTTTATTTGTCAGAAAGCTGGCTGTTCCTCCAACCTTTCCTCTTTGGATTAATTGGCACTGAAATAAATCTTTCAGCCATCTCTGGTGCAAATACTGGATTAGGTGTTGCCGTAATGATAACTGGTGTTCTGGTTAGTAATGGTAGTGAGAACACACTTAGAAAACAACTATTGTAGCTGAGGTACTTGAATCTGGTCTTTTGTCTGATTTTATTTTAGGTACGTCTCATTGCCTGTTGCGTCTCAGTAATGGGGTGTGGACTAACTTTCAAGGAGACCCTATTTGTTAGTTTGTCTTGGCTACCAAAAGCAACTGTTCAGGTGTGTTGAAGACCCATTAACATGTGCGAAATTCAAATGTCCTCATGTTTTTCATTTTATGTTTCTATTTGTTGGTTTAGGCTGCCATCGGACCAGTCGCATTAGATCTGGCACGTAGCGATCAATTGGATGTAGATGGGAGGATACAGTTAGCGGAACAAGTCCTCACTGTTGCTGTGCTGTCCATCCTGTTAACTGCCCCCCTCGGTGCAATAGGGATTTTAGGGGCAGGTCCCCGCCTCCTCAATAAAAGTACCACCAATCATATCTTGGAGGGAGAGCTGGAAGTTGCTGAACGGAATAATGATATGATATAATTTCACTTTACCTCACTTTAATGTGAATCTCTAATTGAGTCTCTCTACTTAATGCGACCATATGGGCCATATGGGCTCTGTAATATCCTTTACTATGTTTTTATCCATTACATAATGGGGGCTCTTTCCTCAGTGATGAGCCATCCATCAACAAGATCCATGTATGTACTTATGCTTTTATTTTGTGATTTACCATGTACTTTAAAATTCAATGAGAGGACATTGTGTTCCTTCTCTAAGAATCATAGGTCAGCCTAAATCATCTAGGGACCAAAACTTCTCAGAGTGTTATTTATGTTTTATTGTTGTGCTACAGTACTTCCATTTTCTCTTATAATTCTTCTGCTAACTTAAACTTTGAATAAGTAAATCAACGACAAAATAATCGTTACCCTGTAAGTGTAGTAGAGTGTGATATGGTGACACTAAATGTTCCTGAGTGTTTCAAACTGTTTGACTGATTGCTTAAGGTAAGGCGTGTTTTTATATTATTATTATTATTATTTCAAATTATTTTGATACTGTAATTAAAGGCCAAAACCCACTTAATCTATTTTGTAGTTTAAATAAATAAAACATAAGATAAATACATTGTGTTCAAAGATTCAAAAAGTATTTCATTTGGTATGGCTGATATGTTCCTGGTTGCCGCCCTGACTTATGTACACTTGAGTTCAGCCCCTTCCCATTTAGACACATCATAAAACACTGAAATGATTGGAACATCATAAAAATAATCGCCCATACATTTGAACATAAGACACTTCATCTAAATAACGGAATTTGAAAAAAAAAACCAATAGAACGCAAATTAAAACTCATTAAATTACAAACCTTCCCGCTTTGACACGATTATGTTGAAAATTTTTTCCTAGGATTGCATTTTTTCAGAGTGAATCGTCTTGGGATTTGGATAGGATTTTTCACTGGTGATGGTAGAGCTGGATTTAAAGGAGCATGGCTTAAGTTAATCAATTTTAAGTGCACACAGTCTCATTCATTCCATAATTTAGAACATCTCTGAACTTACCAGGAACAATGCGGTTTGCATCTGAGATCTCTTCATTTAGATCCGAAAGTATGTAGATTGATCCTCGCCTTCCTGATTTTCTTTCTTTATGAAGTTTCCATAAATCGTACTGTTTACCTGAATCAAAAAGAGACATTAAGTTAAGCCTTGGAACCTTGGTATAACACAAGTTTTCAAGACTATCTCATGTCAATAATCATGGACAGTATTCCTCATGTAGGTTTGAACTACTAACACATCTCCAGCAGAGCTCGTTTTCTCTTCCTCTGGTCTTCAGTCATAACTGAAAAACATAAAAAAAAACAAATCAGTAATTAACATGTATAATAATTTTCAAGATCACTAAACCAAAAAACTTAAGAAAAGTCTTACCTTCATCTGAGATAGTGTTCTGAGGGGAAAACATAGAAGATTGGCTTGGATCTCTTCTTGAATGCCCGTCAACATCGAGTCCATCTATATTATTGCTGTTAGATTCATGCAGTTCATGGTCAGTCCTACAAGTTTTTGACTGACTGGTTGCTTCTGGGAGTCGAATCAGTGCTACAGATGGTTGTTTTGCTCTGCTGTTTTCAACAGGAACCCTGAATGTTTGAGCCTGGCTTAGCTCCTTTTCATGGTTGCTTATAATTTGGGTGCTCAAATCATGTGCCTTAGGCCTTTTCTCATAGTTTTCAGGAGAGTTTTGAAGTTCTTCAACAACTTTTCCCCTTCTAATCTTGGGTTGAAGAAAATTCTCAGTAGTATGGTCTTGGTTCATCTTTTCTTTGGTTTTGTTCTTCTTTGCATCAGCCTTATGATTTAATTTTGTAGAAATAGTTCTCATAACTTCAATTTTTTTCATACCAGGGCTTACTATGTTTTTATCGGTGGGTTTCTTGAAAATACCAGTTTGAAATTTTTTGTGATTAGGTTGGGTATTAGATGTTTTCTGAATTTCCGATTCTGATTCATCCAATGCTTCTCCTGACATATTATCACAGTCAGTAGCATTATCACCATTTTCATTTATTTGCCATTCTGCCTCTGACTCAGATATTTCAGATTCTTCATTGATGCCATGTTCAACTCGTAAGCTTCTCCTAAGGTTATTATGTTCATCTTCAACACTCAATAGTTTAGGGTCTGTAAATGAAATTTGGTAGAAGATTTCAGTTAATCTCCTATTAGCTCTTATTCAATCAAATTCACAATAATAGACAATGAACTACCTTGTAAGCAAGATAAGTCAATTTCAGAATTGTTTGCTGTAGAATTTACAAACTGTAAAGTAAGATACATAAAATTCAAAGAAAACTTCCAAAACTTGTGGTGAGGGTAGATAAATGGTCAAGAAACAAGCATTTAAGAACATACCTCATTTTGCACTTTACTGAAAAAGCTATCCCACAAACTTAGTCTTTTCTTCATTGCTCTTCTCTTCGGGTCGCTACGGTTTTTAGTCGAGCTGAGAAAAGAAAAGAAGGAGTTCAGTTAAGTTTATTTCATCAACCATACAGATACAGATGTACAAATACAGCACACTCTCGGCTCTCGTCAAAAAAGATACTTATAAAAAAGGCAGCAATCTTCAGAAAAATTGTGGTACATAGGCCATGCACTAAACACACTATTACAACGAGCAAGCAGTACTGAATATAGGGCAGGAGTAAAGGAGGAGGAGCTATGACCACAACATATAAAGGCCACTTTGAAAATGGCAATGACAAATAGGAAAAGGAGGCCTTCAGAGATTTCAGAAGCAGCAGAAGGCAAAGTAGTACACACACTTACATGTCCATTTTGTAAATATTTCCGGGAGGAACACGGCAGAAGAAACACCGGCAACAGGTGAGGAAAACTGAAAGTTAGCCAGCAGTAGTTTTGGTGAACTAGGAAATCAAATGGAGAATCATCACAACACAGCCGTTTGTTGTTTGAATGAATGAAAATCTTGTGACTGCGAACAACGCTGTGAACTATTTACAGCATATCCCCTGTCCTGCATATAACTCAACTGAAAAACGACCGTCATTTCGTTCGCAAGCAGACGAGTGTTTTCATTCAACGTGACACAAGGCTCGGACTCGTCAGAACCAAAATGGTGGGTAGCTGAAAATGACATGAAAATTTTCCCTCCGTTTTCGAGGGGCGTAACCTGGTCTCTCCTACTTCATTGTCTCTGTATGTGTAAACGCGTGTGCTCTGAAAATGGTGAAGAAAGTGGACAAGCGGGGCCGTCCCAGCAAGACAAAGCTTGTTGCGAGTCGCGCAGCGAGCGTAGCGCTGGCGCCCTCCAAGGCGAAGGCTAAGGCCAAGTCAAAGGCTAAGAGACCTCCAAAAGCAGCGACTGCGGCGGGGTCTGGGTCGGGGTCGGCCGCGGGAGCCGCAGTGGAGTGTACAACTGCCGAGCCCTGTGTGTTCCCCTGTCCTTGTCTTCGGCGCGTCCCCGACGAGGCCCTGCCCCAAGTGTGTGCAGTGCATGACAGCCAGGATGAAGAGGCTGGCATCCGCATCCTGGGAGGCGAAGACCTTGATGCCCTCCAACTTGAACTGGAAACTTTGCTCAGCTCCGTTGCTGTACGTTTGTGTCAGCTGAATGAGCAGCTGACTGTCCTTAACAGTATTGAAACAACCACTCGAGGAAGAGGAAGGAAGCAACGCAAGACTCTCGCTATCATAGCGACACCAGCACCAGCGGTCTCTACTCCGCCACCAGAAGATAAGCCCACAATCTGCCGTCCTCCTGTAAAAGCACCTATGAAGAAGCTGGGTAATATTCCACCCCCTGCGCCATCTCCAAGTCTTTCAAACTCCTCGTGTAAACGCTCCAAAATGCTGCGTAAAAGACCAGAGATGGGTGGTACCACCAAGCCTAAAGGAAAGCAACTGGAAAAGGATTTCGTTTCACACAAGTTTTGGACTACGCTTGATCCTTACTGTTGCGAAGTTACTGAAGACACGTACAATCTTCTGAGTGACATTCTGTGTCAAAATCAAGAAGAGGTGCCATTTTTGTACAACATTCCTCCATTAGGAGAACATTTCTCCAAGGAATGGGACGTCAAAGATTTTGTGGAGAACCACGAATATGGTCATGCTTCTCCTTCCCTTTCTTCGCTTCCCCCAAGCTCTCCTTCATCAAACAGTACCACTTCTTCTCCAACGGCAGAAAGTATTGGCAGTGCTATCAGGAGGAAGTTCAGAGAGTGCTCTTTGGCCCTGAAAAGAACTCTCTGCACCAGTCCAGAAAAGCCACCTCCACCAGCATCTCCACCACCCACACCAGCAACCAGCAAATTAATGGCAGCTCTTTTGGGAGAACTACCTCCACCCATCATACCTTTACAAGAAAGCAAGGAACACAATGTTATTGTTAAAATTGAAAAAGATGATGACGAGAAAGTTTCTCCCAAGAATTCTCGCCCGAATTCGGTCAGTGGATCAAGCTCTAACAGTGAGATGCCCCTGAAACATCAAAGAAAATGTTTGGACCGAAAATATTGTCTAGAAAAAGAGGCGCAGGGTGACATTGACTGTTCCATAAGAGACTATGTCCCACCTCAGAGTCTTTTGGATGAACTGAAGCGCACACAAGCAGAATTAAAGCTTGTTGTTGATCAAAACAATCAAGTGATTTCTGGCCTGACAAATGTCATACTTGATGAGTTAAAAGTTCAAAACTTGAAAAGAAAACTTCAAGAGATTGATGATAGTGTTCTTGATATATACCATTCACGCACAGCTGCTAAGCTTGCTAAAGAGACTATATCGCAGGACAACATTGATCGGGCTTGGAAAGCCTTGAAGGAGAGGGATCACATCATCCGCCAGATTGACTTTTTTGAACAGCGATGGGCCTCAAAGAATGAAGTTTAATATGGTACCTCATGGAATATCATCCAAATATGTGAGTCTGTGCAGTGAAAGTCTGTAATTTTAAGTTAAGAATACCAATGAAAGTTTTGTTTTTTTTTTTTTTTTTAAGGATGAAGATTTGTTGTAGACATTTAGTCCAAGTTTTGTTTTCTATGTTATTTTGTGTTAAAACTTGAAGCATAAATTTTAAAAAGAGTATCTTGTTTATGTTTTCACATGCGTTCTATGTAGTAAGATATGTTAATAGACTTGTGTATGTTCATGTTTTAAGTACACATTTATGTTCAATGATGACAAATGGGACTCATTCAATAGGTGAAAATTTTGAGTTGACAATGTGTAGCCTCTTATGCTGCTTAAGCTTTTATTTTGTCTATGCTATGAATGTCAACTTTTTTACTGATGTGCCATTGTTTTTACGGGTTCCGTTGTTGCTTTAATTAGCCTATATAAAGTGCCTTTGATAGGTATTGTATACCTGCATAACTTTTTACTACCTGGCATTACCTAACAAAATTTAGGATTGGTGTTTTCTTTTCACTGTGTTATTATGTGGAAATCTAAAACTCAAGTGGCTCAAATACAAACTTTGGTTTTATTTGTGAATTAAAAATAGGTACAGCAAGCAGGTTATATAGTTTAATGATCAAGTACAAAAATCGAATCTAAGTCTTAGCATGTATCCTTACTAACAAAGAAGCTAATAACAATTCTTTTAGAGCTTTGCTATGCAAATTTCAAAGGATGACCTAAGCTTTGTGTTCATGGTGGCATAGTTTCTTACTGGGTATGATTTATGTGATTTAAAGATTATGAAGTAACTTTTGTTATATTAGTTAAGACAGATGCATTTTTAATCTCCACGTTTTACTTAGAGATCTTTTAATTTTGTTGATCTTTATGGATCTTTTTTATTAGTAGTTGGTTCTGCATGGTTGGGATGCTTAAGTGCACGGTTTCCTGTCTCGTTAGCTTATCTAGAATTCTTTACTCTTCTATATCTGACAAAGTTCAATTCGGAATATTGTATTTCCACTTTTCTTTTGTGATAAGTTTCTTTGCCATTGTTCTGGATAATTCTGGTGTTAAGTACCTGCGTGTAGTGTGTAAAAGGTGTGCAATGCTCGAAACTTCCAACATTTTTTGTTCAAATTGATAAGATTTTTCTATTTACATGTTGACTTAGTTATATTTGGAGTCATGTATTATCATTTTTACCAAAATTAAGGCTTTAGTATAATAGAGGTATGTTTAAATGTAGGTCAAGTTTGTATTATTTTATTTGGTGGAAGCTTTACATTCCAGAGTCTTGGGTTTATTGTTACAATAACTCTGATTTATCACTATGGCATCTTATTTTGGAGCGTCTCTCGTTGACAGTTAAGTGGTGTCTAGTCTGCGGTCAGGCCCTTGTCATATTAACATTTTAAAAGATGAACTAAACAAAAATAGCTATTGGTCTGGTGAGCAGCACAGCAACAAACTCAGTCCTCATTTGCTTTTAAGACTTTCTGAACTTTTGTGATTGGTTTTCAAATTTTTTCTCTGTTTTTCCAAAATGTCAATATGTATTTGCTTCACAGTGTTCAGAGTTGTTTGGGAGGTTATTTTGGAGGCCATTGTCTTTTGTATCAGCAATCCATGTACCTGTAATGACCACACTTTAGAAAAATAAAAAAATGCACTTCTTTTTATAAAATAAATTGTTTTCTTTCACAACCTTCTTTGCTCTCTTCTGATCACTCTGGATATTTTGTATTCTGATGGAATTAGATAGCGCAAGAGCTCAAAAAGCCTTATGAAATCATGATTTCACTAAACAAAATTGAAGTAATTAAAAACTAGAAGATGCTTTCTTCAATTCTGATGCTGGCAATAATTATGATGTCAGAAATGGAGAGATAGCATTGACATTCAACAGCTCAACAGGTATACTGCACATGCTATGAACCCGACTAAATACCTATGCAGCTCCAACCCAAAATTCGTTGTGTATTTTCTGTGAGGTGTGTTGATTGTTCTTTGTGTTTTGTTTACAGCATGGGCGGCTCAAAGTTAAAACAACGAAGGAGCAGGAGGAGGAGAGGCGAGTGAAGCGAGCACAGAAAGTGAAACAATACAGACTCGCTTATGGCAGAATTGTTGAAAAAGTAAGTGTCAATCCCAAGTCTCCAATCATCATCTTGTACACCAGTGGAGTCCACGTATTGAAATATCCATTCGTTTTCCCCAGAGACAGGCAGGGGAGCGGGATGAAGAGGGCCTGCAGATCTCCCAGCAGATCCTGGAGATGATTCCAGACATCCACTCTCTGTGGAACTATCGGCGGGAGATCATCGAGCATCTCAAGGAGTCAGGGTGAGTTGGCCTCATGGCCTGTCGCTCAGTAGGCTAGAGGACTGGTGTGGAGGCGGCCAAAATTGAGCTGCAAAGTCGCTACATGGGACTCGAACCAAACGTGTGACTCCACCAATGGAATGCGCACTGAACGAGGAATTCATTGGTGGGGTCACACGCTCGGTTCGAGTGCCATGTAGCGACTCCAGAGCTCAAAATGCGTCGAGAATTTTGGCCGCCTCTACCGGTCCTCTGGCCCCTTGTGTGGGGCCGCGTAAGTTGAGTCCAGCCCAAAGCGCCAGCTAGAGGCAGAGGCCCCGGAAAGGGTATGAAGGCCTCTAGCGCCTGCGAACCCAGGGTAGGCCACACGCGCACAGCGGTGTTCGGCGGGCCGGCCTACCCCGGCATCTCGCAGGCTGAAGAGAGAGCGAGCGCGGACCTGCCGCTGCACAGTGGGCCAGTAGACCGGTGGAGGCGGCCAAAACTCTATACGCGTTTTGAGCTCCAGAGTCGCTTCATGGCACTCGAACCGAGCGTGTGACCCCACCAATGGATTCCTCGTTCGGAGAGCAATCCATTGGTGGGGTCACACGCTCGGTTCGAGTCCCATTTAGCGACTCTGGAGCTCAAAACGCGTCGAGAGTTTTGTCCGCCTCCACCGGTCTACTGGCCCACTGTGCGCTGCCGTCTTTGTCTTCCTCACGCACGCAGTCGCGCTGCTGTCGCTTCCAGGTCCGAGGACGACCTGCAGCGCCGCCTGGAGTCGGAGCGCCACCTGACGGAGACGTGCCTCCGCGCCAACCCCAAGTCGTACGGCGCGTGGCACCACCGCACCTGGGTCATGGACTCCATGCCCTCGCCGGACTGGCAGCGCGAGGTGGCGCTCTGCACCAAGTTCCTCAACCTCGACGAGCGCAACTGTGAGTCGAGAACCATCACACTGAAAACAAAATTCCGTACTTTTGTACTGAAAATGTAGTGTGGCACGGAAAAAGTACTGGTTCTCCGTAGTGGTCCCCTTAAGGACCTCATGTAAAGTGGTACGGAAAACATGTACGGAACCTCCGTTGTTGAAAATATCCTGATAGATAATAGACCAGACATGTTCCGTACTTTTTCCATGCCGCCCTTACAGCGCTGATGACACTGATGATGTAGTGCACTCATTCGCCGCTGTGAAATTTCCGCCACTGACTCAGCTGCCTTTCGGTTGTCCCCCCAGTCCACTGCTGGGACTACCGGCGCTTCGTGGCGGCGCGCGCGGCCCTGGCGCCGCAGCAGGAGCTGAGCTTCACGGACGACAAGATCGCTGTCAACTTCTCCAACTACTCGTGCTGGCACTACCGCAGCAAGCTGCTGCCGCTCGTGTACCCGGACCCCGCGGGCGTGCGGCCCGTCAGGGAAGACCAGCACCGCCACGGTGAGCCATCGCAGTGGCGGATCCAGAGGCGGCCTGGGGGGGGGGCAAAGTCGCACTTTTTGCCTACCTTTCAGGCGGCTATCTAGGGGCTATGGGGGGGCAAAAACACCATTGCCCCCCTGTATCCGCGCCTGAGTCACCGCAACCACTCCGCGCGCTGAAGTTGTTATGGTCCATTCAGTGAATCCTGTCCTCGCGGCGACCCTTTGCTATGCAGGCCTTTTCTTGGTGCCATCATGAGTGTGGCTAACAGCCTCGAAACAACGAGCAAAACAAAAGATCGAACCCTTATAACGCACCGGAACAGCACTCGGACAATGAGGCCCCCAGTGGGGCTGTGGCTGTTTAACTTCCCTTTGAGCGCGGCGAGGACAGAGTTCACTGAATGCACCATACCCATCATCGATAAGAATTTTTTATGAATCCACTTTTTTCCCCTTAGAACTGGAGCTGGTGCAGAACGCCGCCTTCACGGACCCCAACGACCAGAGCGCCTGGTTCTACCAGCGGTGGCTGCTGGGCCGCAGCCAGCCCGCCCAGGCCGTGACGCGCGCGCTGGTGTCGCCGGGGCTGTGCTTGGTGGCCACGGCGCGGCCCGCCAAGGCGCGCGGCCTGGGGCTGCAGCTCCTCCTGGACTCGCGGCCGCTGGACGGCCGTTGGCGCAGCGCGGACGGCCAGCGCTGCAGCAGCGTGTGGGTGAGTGGCGCGTGCGAAGCACAGTGGGCCAGAAGACCGGCGCCGGCGGACGAAACTCTAGACGCGTTTTGAGCTCCAGAGTCGCTAAACAGGACTCGAACCGAACGTGTGACCCCACCAATGGATTCCTCGTCCGGAGAGCAATCCATTGGTGGGGTCACACGTTCGGTTTGAGTCACATTTAGCGACTCTGGAGCTCAAAACGCGTCCGGGATTTTGACCGCCTCCACCGGTCTTCTGCCCCACTGTGCGAAGGGCCGCCGCAAGCCTCGAGTCCTTGCCTCCCTGCTGGACGCCGTCGCCGTGCCTGACGGGACTGCCCTCTGCAGGTGTTCGAGCCGGCGTCGCCCATCCCCTCGCCGCTGCCCGGGGACGTCGCAGCGCGCTTCCTGGACGCGTCCGGCGCCGAGGTGGACGTGGCCCTGGACGTGGTCGCAGACGGCTCCAGCGCGGCGCTCAACAGTGTGCCGGCGTTCGGGGCGCCGCTCAGCCCCGCCCTGGCCTCCGTCATGATGGAGGAGCTCGACGCCTGCCGCCAGCTGCTGGAGTTCGACCCGGACAGCAAGTGTGAGTACACTGTTCTTGCGGTGGAAATGCACATGCTCTACAAACTCAAGTGTCGACATAGTACACTCCACCTGGAGCCAACCTAGCATGTACACTGTTGCTGAAGTCCCCTACCTTTTGCATGTAAAGCAGAGCAACAGTGTGCTTGCAGGTAAACGCCACCTGGCGTGTACTTGGCAAGCATGCTCCAGCGTGGAGTGTACATTCAGGTTCGACTCCAGGTGGAGTGTACTAAGTCGACACTTGAGTTTTTAGAGTGGTTGGAGTCAGGAGGAGAGGCATCCAATCCAACCGCCCCTATCCCTACTTCGCTTGCCTGCAGGGACGCTGCTGACTTCGGTGCTGCTGATGCAGACCATTGAACGGCAGCAGTTCGAGGCAGAGACCGTCCTCACGCTGGACACGCTCGTGGAGCTGGACTACCAGCGCGCCAACTACTACAAAGACCTGCGTGAGTATGCACCTAGTTCAAACAAAGGGCACTCCGACGCACGGCGAACCAGAAGACCGGTTGAGAAGGTCATGATTCCGGACAGGTTTTGAGCTCCAGAGTTACTAAATGGGACTCAAACTGAACGTGTGACCCCACCAACAGATTCCTTTGTGAACGAGGAATCCATTAGTAGGGTCACACGTTTGCTTCGACTCCTGTTTAGCTACTCTAGAGCTCAAAACATGTCTAGAGTTTTGGCCGCCGGCGCTGGTCTGCTGCGGAAAACCTTACCTCACTTCGTCGCTGATTTTTGTTTGCTGGTTCCAGGGAGTCGCCTGGTGCTGGAGTACGCCCTGGAGCGGCAGCGCGGCGACGCCGTGGACCTGACGAGGCTGTCGCTGACGGCCCTCTACCACGCGCCGCTGCTCGCCCTGGTCAAGACCCTCGTCCTGGACGACAACCACCTGCGCCGCCCCTTGCCGCAGTTGGCCGCGCTGCAGTGCTGCGAGGTAAAAATAGTTTAAGAAGTGGAAAGCTGAATGCGAACTGCAGACTGATTCAGGGAGTCGTTTTCTCCGCTGTCTCTGTCGCACCTAAACGAGACGCCGCGTGACGGCTAGAGAGACAGAGCGACGAAAACGACTCTCGGAATCAGTCTGCTGCGGAGCGCACGCTGCTGAGTCCCAGCTTTGTTCGGCTTGTTGCAGACGCTGTCCATGGACAGGAACGAGCTGGTGTCGCTGTCCGGCTGGGGCGCCATGCCGAACCTCCGGCGTCTGTCGCTGCGCGGCAACGCGCTGGCCAGCGTGGACAGCCTGGCGCCGCTGGCGTGCTGCCCCCGCCTCCGGGAGCTGGACGTCCGCAACAACCCCGTGGCCAGCGTGGAGGCCCTGCGCAGCGCCGTGAAGGCCGTGCTGCCTGGCCTCGGCGTCCTCAACGGGGAGCCCCTGTAGGCCAGCCGTGGGGCCCGGCGTAAGGGCCCGTGAGGGAGGCCGTGCTGCCTGGCCTCGGCGTCCTCAACGGGGAGCCCCTGTAGACTGCGCTCCGTGGAGGCCGTGCTGCCTGGCCTCGGCGTCCTCAACGGGGAGCCCCTGTAGACTGCGCTCCGTGGAGGCCGTGCTGCCTGGCCTCGGCGTCCTCAACGGGGAGCCCCTGTAGACTGCGCTCCGTGGAGGCCGTGCTGCCTGGCCTCGGCGTCCTCAACGGGGAGCCCCTGTAGACTGCGCTCCGCGGAGGCCGTGCTGCCTGGCCTCGGCGTCTTCAACGGGGAGCCCCTGTGGAGAGTGCGCCCCGCGCCACCAAGACTGGAGTCTAGGCTCTCGGACGGCATCCTCTCCGTCTACGCCTGCACTCACTCACCGATCCCTTTCCGATCGTGTTGTTCTGATTATAAGTGTATTTTGTTGTAAGATCATTGTCATTCCTTTGTTGTCTATTTTTTTCCCCGTGATAGATTATGTTGCTTAAGATGTGTTTTGTCGTTTAATGTTACTGACATTTGTTGTGAGACTTAGTATTGTTCCTACTGTCGCACTGTGCTGGTCTTTTCTATGTTTGAATAAAAGAGTTTAGTTTTGAGTAATTAAATCGGGTATTTTATTTCTCCATATCCCGCGTCGACGCCGGACTGCGTAACTGTCTGCTTAATTCAATCAACCACAACGAAAATTCAGAACAATTTTAATTTTTTGCTTTCTCTCAATAAATAATGTAAGTTGTTTGGTAATCCTAGGCAATCACTCGAAGCAAAACGGTGAAACAACTCATAATTTTTTACGCTAAAATTAGAACAAAGTGGCTTTACAATACGAGGAGGGAAGTCCACATTGCTGAAGTTCAACGTTCGCGAAGCGGCAAAGCGGCACATCCCAGGCTTGGCAGGTGCCCTCCGAAAAACCTGGCCCCGAATTTGACCAGTGTGGTGACGGCCCGACGGCGAGCGGGAATGGGGGTGGGGGAAGGGGCGGCTGGCTTCAGGACACGGGCGTCAGAGTTTGGCCCGCAGTCAGGCACAATCACTGCTGTGCTTTCCTGGTGCCGTGCCGAGCGCCGAACGCCGAGCCGCGTCCGCCGAGCCGAAGGTGGCCGAAGGAGCCGAAGGCACGTCGTCCGGCTTCCACTTTTGGCGCCAAAAGTGCGGTCGCGCCCAACAGCAATTTGGCGGGAAGGTTGGCCCGGGAAAGGATCGCGCTTGTCGCAGGTAAGGGAGCCTAAGCGTTATGCCAAGTCCTGGGGAGGTTCCGCCCCGGACGTCGTTTTATTGAGCCGGCGGTTCCCTCGGGTAAATGTCGCCGGGCGCTGGCGGCACTGCAGACTGATTCCGAGAGTCGTTTTCGTCGCTCTGTCTCTCTCGCACTGACGGGGCGTCCCGTATGGCCGCGAGAGAGGCAGAGCGACGAAAACGACTCTCGGAATCAGACTACTGGCACTGCGACATTGAACTTAAGCGAACGGATGGGATGGGGGGTTGCGGCGGGGAGTAGGAGGGGGCGGGGGCAGGCGGGGGGCTGCCAGCACCCTGTACGGCTTCCGCGGTTGCCGTCAAAGCCTCCCTGATAGACACTGCACCACCCACGCCATAGCCGCCGCCCGGAGCGGCCAGAGCTTCTCTCTCGGCCGCCATCGTCTGCGTCCCGAAGGAGAGGGCTGACCTCCCCGTCCTCGTCCCCGTCGCCCTGGCGGGACCTAGCGGGACCTAGCGGCGTTGGCACCGTGCCGCGCGCACCACGCCGCGCACCGCGTGTTTGACGTATGGCTGTAAAATACCCGACGGAAGGGTTAATTGGAAGCACGGTGCATTTCATCATTTCGCGAGGACCGTGCTTGGTTCGGGGAAAAGGTGCGGAAAGAGCGCGGAAAATAGTTGATGCTGTGAAATGAGTGTTTGTTTCCAGTTTGCATGTTTGCTGTGGACATGCGACTGGGCTGGCCATTACCATAATAATGGGATCTGGGTCCGTCCGCAGGGAAAATGGGAGGCCAGCAGCGGAGAAGGAAAACGGCACGGAATCGACTCTGCAGACCGGTGACGTTGGTCTGCATACTCTCCGCTATCTGAGGAACACCCCGAGCTGTCGTCCTCGTCAAATTTTAGAAAGGTAAGTCCAAAGTCGACGCGTAATACCCAACACCTATGGTTGGATTTTTTTTCAGTGCCGGGGAGTGTTGCATGTGTTCGAACTGCGGGGCACAGCTGGTGCGACTCGTGAATAGATCTCTGTTTGGCACCGTTCCCCCGTCAGCTGCCCCTTCGCGAGGCAACCCGACGAGACGTCCACCAGCCAGTGGCAGCCACCCGCCTCCCGACCCGACACGTCAAAGACGGATGGGTCAGGCCAGATAGAAAGATCCTCGCCCTCCACAGTCCCCCAGACAGTCCACACAGGACGCTTTTGATCGTTCACATTTAGAAGCGCGGGGAGCGCGTGGTTCTAACAGATGCCCCTCATGACCGAGGCGACATTGTTGGCGCGCTCCCCGGTGGAGTGAGGGAGACAGAGCGAGGGCGAGCGGGAGCGGTCGGCCACACCCGTCCGCACCTTTGCAAGAGTCGTACACTCCGCGCCCGGCATGCACCTTCCGGGAAATACCCGTCGGGTCCCGCCTGGGGTTGTCGCTCTGATTTTGAAGCTGCTCTGACGCGAGTCCTACGACATGCACGTCACCGTGACGGCCGAGTTGTAGAACCACGCAGCGCGAAAGCGAGAAGGCGTGAACCTCGTCGCGCGGGGTGGGGGTGTTGGTATTAATTGGGCACGCGAGAGCCCTGGCGTGCTGCCTGTAGGCCGATTCCGAGAGTCTTTTTTGTCGTTCTGTCTCTCTCGCACTCGTGGAGCGTGCCGTATAGGTGAGAGAGACAGAGCGACGAAACGTCTCTCGGAATCAGTCTGCTGCCGGCCACTGCCTTGGCGCCTTGGCCTTGCGCGCCGTGCGGGCCTTGCTGGTTGAGTGTGGTCGTGCGCCCCGGCAGCACAACCACCACCCGCATGCCGATGAGGGGCGGCCGGGCGCCGTGGTGCGGCCAGGTACAGTCAGGTAGACCCACGCCGTTCGAAGAATGCCGGCCGCCGGGCCAAGAGCGCCAAGTGCGTAACGGAGCCAGCCCTTGGCCCGCGGCGCGTCGGTCGAGGTGGCCGTCGAGGTGGCCGTCGAGGAGGCCGTCGAGGAGGCCGTCGAGGAGGCCGTCGAGGAGGCCGTTGAGGTGGCCGTCGAAGTGGCCGTCGAGGAGGCCGTCGAGGTGGCCGTTGAGGAGGCCGTCGAGGTGGCCGTCGAGGTGGCCGTCGAGGAGGCCGTCGAAGTGGCCGTCGAGGTGGCCGTCGAGGTGGCCGTCGAGGAGGCCGTTGAGGAGGCTGTTCAGGAGGCCGTCGAGGTGGCCGTCGAGGAGGCCGTCGGGATGGCCGTTGAGGTGGCCGTTGAGGAGGCCGTCGGGGTGGCCGTTAGGCCGTCGAAATGGCCGTCGAGGAGGCCGTCGAGGTGACCGTCGAGGTGGCCGTCGAGGAGGTCGTCGAGGGCCGTCGAGGTGACCGTGGAGGAGGCTGTAGGAGGAGGCCGTCGAGGAGGCTGTAGAGGTGGCCGTCGAGGAGGCCGTCGAGGAGGCCGTCGAGGTGGCCGTCGAGGTGGCCGTTGAGGAGGCCGTCGAAATGGCCGTCGAGGAGGCCGTCGAGGTGACCGTCGAGGTGGCCGTCGAGGAGGTCGTCGAGGGCCGTCGAGGTGACCGTGGAGGAGGCTGTAGGAGGAGGCCGTCGAGGAGGCTGTAGAGGTGGCCGTCGAGGAGGCCGTCGAGGAGGCCGTCGAGGAGGCCGTTGAGGTGGCCGTCGAGGAGGCCGTCGAGGTGGCCGTCGAGGAGGCCGTCGAGGAGGCCGTCGAGGAGGCCGTCGAGGGCCGTCGAGGAGGCCGTTGAGGAGGCCGTCGAGGAGGCCGTTGAGGTGGCCGCCCAGGAGGCCGTAGAACAGGTCGTCGAGAAGGCCGTAGAGGTGGCCGTCGAGGAGGTCAAGAGAGACCACGGTGCGGCGTGAGCAGCAGAAAATACACCAACAAAACCGTTCTTTCGATTTTCCAGCGCCGCCATCATCCAGGATGCCGCAGCGCAGGTCCTCGGGGGCGAGGCGGGCGTCCGCCGGGGCCAGCCCCCCGGAGTCGCCGTCCTACGAGTTCCTGGGCAACCAGAAGCTGACCCCGCGCGCGGTGGCGCGACTGTCCCTGGCTCATGTCGAGGCCGGCGGCCTCCGCGGCGGTCCCGGGGCCCCCGCCAACCGCAACACCAGGGGCGGCTGGAACAACCAGCTGGACTTCTTGTTCTCGTGCATCTCGGTGTCCGTGGGGCTGGGCAACGTCTGGAGGTTCCCGTACCTCTGCTACAAGAACGGTGGCGGTGAGAAGCAGCAGTGCCCAACACACTGGCGGCGAGGAGTGGCTCTCGGCGGTGCCGCTAATGTGGCCTCGGCTTCCAGGGACCTTCCTGCTGACGTACTTCGTGGCCATGGTCTTCTGCGGCATCCCCATGTTCTTCCAGGAGGTGGCGCTGGGCCAGTACCTCGGCGCGGGCGGCATGACGCTGGTCGGCACACTGTGCCCCCTCCTCAGAGGCAAGTAGTGCGCACAGTGGGCCAGAAGACAAGCGCCGGCGGCCAAAGCTCTAGACGCGTTTTGAACTCCAGAGTCGCTGAACAGGACTTGAACCGAGCGTGTTACCCCACCAATGGATTCCTCGTTCGGAGAGCAATCCATTGGCGGCGTCACCGTTCGTTTCGAGTCCCTGCGACTCTGGAGCTCAAAGCGCGTCCGGTGTTTTTTGATCGCCTCCTAGCGCACTGAGACACGCCCAGCTGCTCATCCATCTTTCTTTTTTGCTGGAAAAGTGTACAACGTTTTCTGTAAAAACACAGGCACCGGCTACGCCACCATGGCCATCGTCTTTCTCCTCGACGTGTACTACTGCGTCATCGTGGCGTGGACGCTTTTCTACCTTATCGCAACCTTCACCAAGCTCCCCGGGCTGCCCTGGGAAACTTGCGGTAGGCAAAAAGTTGCTGTTTATAAACAGTTTTTTTTTCCTTTCGGAAAATTGGAATTGGTCATGAAGTTGAGGTGGGTGCCGGCAGGTAACTGGTGGAACACGGCGCGGTGCTCGACGGGCGCCAACGGCACGGCCCTCGGAGTGAACACGTCCATGGTCCTGGAGGACATGGAGGGCTTCGAGATCCTGGCCAACGCGACCAACCGCAGCACGCCGGTCGAGGAGTTCTGGGAGTAGGTTGGATTCGAGCTTCTGCCCGCTCACGCCAGCCCTCGGGCAAAGTGGGCCAGAAGACCGGTAAAGACGGCCAAAACTCTAGACGCGTTTTGAGGTCGAGAGTCGCCAAAAGGGACTCGAACTGAGCGTGTGACCCCACCAATGAATTCCTCGTTCGCAGAGCAATCCATCGGTGGGGTCACACGTTCGGTTCGAGTCCTGTTTAGCGACTCTGGAGCTCAAAACGCGTCCGGGATTTTGACCGCCTCCACCGGTCTTCTGGCCCACTGTCGCGCTGCGACCGTAGTGAACGACGGCCTTTGCCCGCAGTCGGCGCGTGCTGCAGCTCACGGCCGGCCTGGAGGACCTGGGCGGCATGCAGTGGGAGCTGCTGGGCTGCCTGCTGCTCGGATGGCTGCTCGTGTACCTCATCATCTGCCGCGGCCTCCACGAGAGTGGCAAGGTAACCCCGGGGTAACCCGAGGGGTAACCCGACCCCCAGTGACTTGCGGCGTGACCGCACTGCTAATCCAAGTGTAGGACGAGTACACACGTGCGGGAGCAGACCATCATGTCCTACACTTGCAACGTGTCAGCCACACTGTGTCTTAGGCCGAGGATCGTGACAAATCAATGGTTGTATCGTCGCACGAGCTGTGTGCTACGCTTCTAGGCGTATACGACACGGTGTGGTCGACACTTGCAAGTGTGCGGCATTATGGTCTACGCCTACCGTAAGTGTGTATGTAGAACTTGTCCTGCACCTGGATCAGCAGTGCGCCTTGTCGACGTCCACCAACCACGTAACGTACAGTGGGCCAGAGTGCGGCCACAATTCTTTACGCGTTTTGAGCTCCTGAGTAGCTAAACAGGGCTCGAACCGAGCGTGTGACCCCACCAATGGATTCCTCGTTCGGAGAGCGTTCGGGTCACACTTTCGGTTCGAGTTCCATTTGGCGACTTTTGAGCTGAAAAGGCGTCCGGGATTTTGGCCGCCTCCACCGGTCTTCTGGCCCACCGTGTTACGGTAACTGTGTTGTCGCAGATCGTGTGGTTCACGGCGCTGTTCCCGTACGCCATCATGCTGGTGCTGGCGGGGCGCGCGCTCACGCTGCCCGGCGCGCTGGACGGGCTGGTGTTCCTGGTTGTGCCGGACTGGGGGGCGCTGCTGTCGGCGGGGCCCTGGATCGACGGCGCCACGCAGATCTTCTTCTCGTACTCCATCGGCGTGGGCACGCTCCCCGCGCTCGGCTCTTACAACGCCTTCCACCACAACTGCCACAAGTAATCATTTTAACCTATCTAACCTAACCTGACCTAACCTAGCCTGACCAAGTAGCTGCTCTACAAAGTGAAGTGTCGACATAGTACACTCCACCTGGAGTCAACCTGGCATGAACACTCCACCTGGAGTCAACCTGGCATGTACACTCCACCTGGAGTCGACCTGGCATGTACACTCCACTCCACGCTGGAGCATGCTTGCCAAGTACATGCCAGGTGACGTTTACCTGCAAGCACACTTTTGCTCTGCTTTACATACAAAAGGCAGCGGACTTCAGCAACAGTTTACATGCCATGTTGACGCCAGGTGGAGTGTACATGTCAGGTTGACTCCAGGTCGAGTGTACATGCCAGGTTGAGGTTGACTCCAGTTGGAGTGTGCTATGTAGACACTTGAGTTTGTAGAGTGGTAGTTGAACCCGTCGCCCTTTCTGCAGGGACGCCATCATCACGTGCGTGGTGAACAGCGTGACGTGCTTGCTGGCCGGCGGCATCACCTTCTCCATCCTGGGCTACATCGCGCACGTGCAGGGCGCGCGCGTCGCCGACGTCGTGTCCAGCGGCCCGGGGCTCGTGTTCATCACCTACCCGGAGGTGGTGCAGCAGCTGCCGGGGGCGCCGGCCTGGGCCTTCATCTTCTTCTTCATGCTGCTGGTGCGTGAGCCGCGGCGGAGGTTTTCAATTATCGGCTTCCACACTAAATGTCTCATAATGGTGAAGATTCTCCATTTACAATATTAAAACTCACCATTTTAATGAAAAAATTCTCCATTTTAGTGGCGAAAATTGAGATGGCCTCAGTAAATACACGCACAACTGATCCAAATTATTTCCCCATTAATTGAATAAATTACGATTAATTGTGAATTATGTAAAATTATTACAAATTATTAGTAATTATTCCAAAACAAATAAAATAATGAAAATAATATTGAAATTGTCCGGAAGGACGATCATGCTCCGTAGCGACGCCCGAGCTGCGGCAAGCTTAGGTGGCTTTGGGTTGTGTCAAGCTGGACGATCACCGACGTGAATTTATTCAACTCATCGACACGAGGCTAATGGCCTGGTATGACAAAGAAAGTGCTGCTCTGAAATCCACGGGTGAGTATACGTTGGTCGGTATGAGAATTTACACAACCGCAACATCTGTCGTCTGCTAGCGGACTTCACCGCTACAAACACCACAAACCATCACTTCCTCTTTGGAAAATTGATAAGCATTCAATATTTCCATAACGGCACTGGTAGCCAAGGAATGTGACGTCACGTTTGTTTTCACGTGAAAACGGCGATGTTAGTTTGAGCGTGACAAACGGTGAAAATCAACATTCAAACGAATGTGACACACCGCACCGCTTTGTCACATTACTTCGGGTGTGACACGCAATCAGCTGTCAAACTGTCACATTAAAACGTATGTGACACATGGTACCCAAGTACACATGTCGTGTCACATCCAAACGAATGTGACACCCATGTACTGTCACGTTCGTTTGAATGTGTAATGCACCGTTATGGAAATATTGGATGCTTGTCAATTTTCCAAATAGATAGTGATGGTTCGTGGTGTTTGTAGCGGTGAAGTCCGCTAGCAGACGACAGATGTTGCGGTTGCGTAAAGTCTCATACCATGGATTTCAGAGCAGCACTTAATTTGTCACACCAGGTGATTAGCCTCGTGTCGATGACTTGAATAAATCCACGTCGGTGATCGTCCTGCTCGACACAACCCAAATCAACATAAGCTTGCCGGTGCTCGGGCGTCGCTACGGAGCATGATCGTCCTTCCGGACAATTTCAATTTTATTTTCATTATTTTAATTTTTTTGGAATAATTACCAATAATTTGTAATAATTTTACATAATTCACAATTAATCATAATTTATTCAATTAATGGGGAAATAATTTGGATCAGGCGTGCGTGTATTTACTGAGCCATCCCCCGAAAATTCTCTATTTTAGTGGTGAAAATTCTCAATTTTAATTATGAAAATTCTCCATTGTAATGGTGGAAATTCTCCATTGAAACGACGAAAATTCTCCATTTTCGTGGTGGTACAGCTTGCTTTGTAACTTGCATTATTTGAAAAAGCTGACTTTGTAACTTCCGTTTGGAAACTCCTCGTACCTTATAGATGGTTCGTCGAATTTCTTTTAAATAATTGTAGAGAAAATTTCCACCGTAATATTGTGCTGGTGCAGCCTTTCACCCTCAGACATGCAGAGTGTGCTCGGTAGTTTTCAACCGGCTCGTGCGTCTGTGCAGATCCTCGGCGTGGACAGCGAGTTCTGCAACGTGGAGTCGTTCGTGACCGGCCTGGTGGACCGCTGGCCGCAGCAGCTGCAGCCCAGGAGGGGCGTCTTCACGCTGGCCGTGTGCGCCCTCATGTTCCTCCTGGCCATCCCTATGGTGTCCCAGGTGCGCACAGTGGCTTTGCCAGAAGACCGGCGCCGGCGGCCAAAACTCTAGACGCGTTTTGAGCTCCAGAGTCGCTAAATAGGACTCGAACCGAGCGTGTGACCCCACCAATTGATTCCTCGTTCGGAGAGCAATCCATTGGCGGGGTCACACGTTCGGTTCGAGTTCCATTGAGCGATTCTGGAGCCCAAAAGGCGTTAATGCACGTTTCTTCCGAGCGCTCCCTGACTGCTTCGCCTCTTTCCAGGGCGGCATGTACGTGTTCCAGCTGATGGACATGTACGCCGCGTCGGGCATCTCGCTGCTCTGGGTGGCCTTCTTCCAGACCGTCGCAGTGTCGTGGGTCTTCGGCGTGGGCAGGTTCGCCAAGTGCGTGCACGAGATGACGGGCGTCAACCCCGGGCCCTTCTGGCGCCTGTGCTGGCTGGTGCTGGCCCCCGCCGTCATGCTGGTAGGTGTCCGAATGAATGAATGAATGAATGAATGAATGAATGAATGAATGAATGAATGAATGAATGAATGAATGAATGAATGAATGAATGAATGAATGAATGAATGAACACTGTTAAAAAAAAAGTCTGAAAATTCAGACCAAATTGGTAAGAAGTTATTAACAGACTTGAGGTCTGAAAATTCAGACCATTTACATGGTCTGAAAATTCAGAACTCGAGAGTCTTACATTTCAGAGTTTGGTGGTCTGAAAATTCAGTCCTGTACGAAGATTGTGAACTTTAAGGTTCGTGGCATATTCACTATGACATAGAAAGAATCTCAGGTGTGTGTGAACCTCCAGAGAGGACAACATTGAGTAAAAATTGTGATGAGGGAGAAGGTCCTCTGTCCTTTTCCCTGACTCTCGAGAGGCCGGCCTGTGGCACCCAAGGAAATGGCGACACGGAGCCACCCGCGAGAGGTAAATTAGAATGTGGATTGTTCAACTTTCACCCATATTAGGGAGATAAATCTTGCGGCAGAGAATGGTTCTCATATGGCCGATTAAGTCCTATCAATTTGGAACTTTTGAACCAATATATTTTCACATTAGAAGCCTTTTAAACTGAAGTAGGTATGTTCCACAACATGCGCGCCATCTAGCGGACAAACGACATCTTGGGTTGGTCTGAATTTTCAGACTTAACCATCTAAATTTTCAGACTGCGCTGGTCTGAATTCAGGTTCTGAGACGATCAGGTCGCAATTTTCATACCGGAAGGCAAAATTTTCAGACAAGCAGTCTGAAACAAGTCTGAAAAATAGTTTCAGACCACCAAGTCTGACAAAAGTGGTCTGAATTTTCAGATTTTTTTTAACAGTGAATGAATGAATGAATGGCCAGACAAATGATGAAAGCATGAATGACCAGATGAATGAATTAACGCATGAATGATCAAATGAATGAAATAATGCATGCATGACCAGATGTCCGAATAAATACAGGTTGAATGAATGTCCGAATGAATGCAGGTTGAATGAGGGTACGAATGAATGCAGGTTGAATGAATGGTTGAATGAATTTCCGAATGTATGCAGGTGAAATGCACGTCCGAATGAGTGCAGGTGGAATGAGCGAGAGTAACCCACGCCTTTTCAACCCATGTACTTCCAGGGCATCTTCGTCTGGTCCGTGGTCCAGTACGTGCCCATCCGCTACGGCAACTACGACTACCCCGCGTGGGGCGAGGCGCTGGGCCTGCTCGTGTCCTCCTTCTCCATGGTCTGGATCCCTGGCTACGCCGTGTTCTTCATGCTCACGGCCAAGGGCAGCTTCATGGAGGTGAGCGCGACAACGCCTCTTGGCCTTGCAGCGCACAGTGGGTCAGAAGACCAGTCGAGGCGGCCAAAAGTCTAGACGCGTTTTAAGCTCCAGAGTTGTCAAAAAGGACTCGAACCGAACGTGTGACCCCACTACTATTGGATTCCTCGTTCGGAGAGCAAGCCAGTGGTGGGGTCACGCTTTCGGTTTGAGTACCATTTAGCTACTCTGGAGCTCAAAACGCGGCTAGACTTTTGGCCGCCTCCACTGCGGTCTTCTGGCCCACCTGCAGTGAGACAGCCCTCGAGGCACGCACTGCCACTGTGGTTTGGCGTGGTTTGAGCGGCAACCCTTGGTTTGGTCCACAGCGGCTGAAGCAGGGCCTGACTGCCGAGGTGGAGGTGAAGCCTAACCTGGAGAGGAGGCCGACCCTCGTGCTGGAGCGCCGCCCGACTCTGCTGCTGGAGCGGGGACTTTTGGAGCGCTCAAACTCCATGAATTAACTCATTTTTCTGTGGCTGTGATCCCATTTGATATTAATGTTTTTGTTTCCGTCTATCATTAAAATGTGTGAACTGACACCAAGTCCGATCCCTTGCCTCCAACCCCTTTACAGTGGGCCAGAAAACCGGTGGTGGCGGCTAAAATTCTAGACGCGTTTGGAGTTTCAGAGTCGTTAAGTGGGGCTCAAACCGAACGCTTAATCCCACCAATTGAGTGCATTGCGAACGAGGAATCCATTCGTCGGGTCTAACGCTCGATTCTAGTCCTATTTTGCGACTGCCTACTTAGGGACAAAGTGGTGCTTTTTGCCTACTTTTCAGGCGGCTATCTAGTGGTCAAGGGGGGGCAGTTGTCCTTTAGCCCCCTCCCCCCTCCCTGGATCCGCGCTTGCTATGCGCGGATGTGCGTCTACATCTTTAAGCCTCAGGTAACATGACATCACCGGCCGACTCAATCCTAATCGGTTTCAAGTGACCCTCGTGCATGACGAATGACTCTGAAGTGTGAAGTCTGTGTAGATAGATTGCAGGTGCCGGCAAGAAGCAGGGGAAGTCGCCTCTCGGACCACAAGCTGAGTTAACGCATTTAGACCGCTTCAAAGTGGTGAGCAACCCTCAAATGGAGGTTGAGCGGCGAGCGGTGGCGGTGCAGGCAAGGCAGACGACTCAGACGACGCAGACCTTGGTCTTGGCTTATCTCGGAGACGCCGCAGCGCAGTGCGCCGCACAGTGGGCCAGAAGACCGGTGGAGGCGGCCAAAACTCTAGACGCGTTTTGAGCTCCAGAGTCGCTAAACGGGACTCGAACCGAACGTGTGACCCCACCAATGGATTGCTCTTCGAACGAGGAATCCATTGGTGGGGTCACACGTTCTGTCCGAGGCCTATTTAGCGACTCTGGAGCTCAAAACACGTCTAGAGTTTTGGCCGCCTCCACCGGTGTTCTGGCCCACTGTGCGCCGCCCGGAAGTGGGCCGGACGGTTGGCCGGGCCGACTGACTAAGGCACTGCGCAGGCGCGCCGGGTGACGCCGCCTACGCGAGCCGGCCAAGCGGTCGCTATCGACGACAGTCCGCTTACCCTAACCTCCCCGTCACATGCGAGGCTGCGCTGGCCGGCGGCGGCAGTTTCGGCCAGTTTCGGTGCATCGCGTTGGCAGCACTGCTCGCATTGTCGCTGGCTCTGTTTTTGTTTACGTGCGGCACCGGCCTCGAGCGGAACCTCCACTTGGGCGCAACGCCCGCCGCTCCGCTCGCCGTCATGATGGACGCCAGCCAGGACAGCATCTTCGCCGCCGAGCTGCGGCCCTTCCCGGACCCCGTCGACGGCAAGATCTCCACCGTGCCGTTCCTGGAGGCGGCCGCCGGGGTCGTCAAGCTGGTCGGTGAGTGCACCGGAACCACCAACGCGACGACGGCGGACTGATTCCGAGAGTCGTTTTCGTCGCTCTGTCTCTCTCGCACCCACACGGGGCGTCCATGAGTGCGAAAGCAGACTGATTCCGAGAGTCGTTTTCGTCGCTCTGTCTCTCTCGCACCCACACGGGGCGCCCATGAGTGCGAAAGAGCCACAGCGACGGAAACAACTCTCGGAATCAGTCTGCACACCTACCCCTCGCTGGGAGCCGCGGCAGCCAGCGCTTCGTGGGCCAGAAGACCTGTGGAGACGGAGACGCGTTTTGAAGACCGTTGGAGGGGGTCAAAAACCCAAACGCGTTTTGAGCTCCAGAGTCACTACAGGCCTCGAATCGAACGTGTGACCCAATCAATGGATTGCACGTTCGGAGAGCAGTCCATTGGTTCGGTTCGAGTCCTGTTTAGCGACTCTGGAGCTCAAAACGCGTTTGGGGTTTTGACCCCCTCCAGCGCTCTTCAGGCCCACTGTGCAGCGCGTCGCCAGACTTTGTCCAGTCAGTGTCACAGACATGACAACTGCTATGTCCAAGGTTGGGATATGCCCACCTGCTCTCCCTGCGTCTCAGCCGTGCCAAAAAAATCCGGGCCCTTTGAGAGCCGACCCCGCCCCCCGAAAACAGTGCCCACGTTGCGTAACCGCGGGGCGGAAAAGTCGATACCACTGTTTGAAAAGCACTGTTTGAAAAGCCCGAAGCCGTAGCGCGCGTAGCGTGCCCCATGGGGCGTGCGTAGCGGCGTAGCGGTGTCGCCTTGGAGGCAAGGCGTGCGTGAACGTAACCCGACGCACAGTGGGCCAGAAGACCGGCGGAGGCGGACATAACTCTAGACGCGTTTTGAGCTCCAGGGTCGCTAAACAGGCCTCGAACTGAACGTGTGACCCCACCAATGGATTCCTCGTTCGGAGAGCAATCCATTGGTGGGGTCACACGTTCGGGTCGAGTCCTGTTTAGCGACTGGAGCTCAAAACGCGTCTAGAGTTTTGGCCGCCTCCACCGGTCTTCTGGCCCACTGTGCGACACGGCCGAGCACGCCCAGGAGGCCCAGGTCCCTCGCCTAGACCACGGCATCAGCTGCGGCAGATAAGGACTCAGATAAAGGCAGCCTGATACCGTCTGGTCACCCTGTTGGCGCGCGAGGCCATCCAATAAACGAGCTTCCTCTATTTTTTCCAGAACTGCTGGGGCAGGTCTTCGCTCCGGTGCGCTACGACATCAATGGGAACATTCAGGTGAGCGGGAGAGGAAGTTGACGTCGTTTCACAGTGGATTTGCCAGAAGTGGTCAAAATCCAGGACGCGCTTTGAGCTCCAGAGTCGCTAAACGGGACTCGAACCGAACGTGTGACCCTACCAATGGACTCCTCGTTCGGAGAGCAATATATTGGTGGGGTCACACGATCGGTTCGAGTCCTGCTTAGTGGCTCTGGAGCTCAAAACGCGTCTGTAGAGTTTTGGCCGCGCGTGCCGGTCTTCTGGCTGCTTCTGGCCCACTGTGGGGGTGTTGGAGCCTCGAAGCGCAAGTCGACGACGTGATGCCCCACTGTTGGGGTGTTCCGTCGGTCACTGGTCCAGTGTATCTGCTGCCCCGGTTTGGCGATATAGACAGACAACCGCAACCATGAGAATGCCGCAACCGACCTGCAGGCATGAACGGATCCAGGTACGGCCTGAGGGGGAGGGGGAGGGGGGGAGGGGGGGGGAGGGGGGCAAAGAAGCGCCTTTGTCTACCTCCTGGAGCAAAGTGTTGCCCTTTGCCTACTTGCCGGGACAAAGTATCGCATCTCGCCTGCCTTTTAGGCGGCTCTAGCCTCCTCTAAATCCACCCGGGCTGGACGTCCCGCCCTTGCCTGCAGGCTTATTCCGAAAAGTCGTTTCATCGCTGTCTCTGTCGCTCTCTGAGGCCTTCCGCACGGGTGCGAGAGAGACAGCATGAGAGGAGAACCGAACGGTTCTTCGGAGTAGCTCTGCTGATTCGCTGGTGAGCCATGCGGCGTTCCTAAGGTGGGCGTTTTGTCGGCAGAAACTTACCGCCAAGTACAATGAGGATGAGAAGAGGTTCGAGTTCCTCAACGACATGCTCCTGTTCGAGAAGGCGCAGGGCTGCAAGGCGACGGCCATCGACGCCCTGCTGTGGCTCCGGAGGTACGTGAACAGTGAGCTACACTGTAAAAGTCGTATGGTGAAAATTCTCTATATTATGGATTGATTATGGTGGTGCAGCTGACTTCATAACATATACCCGCATATACCTTAAAAAATTCAATGTATCTTATGGATATTTTGACGTATTTCGTTTGTATCATGGAGGAAATCTTAACCATAATATGCTGGTGCAGCCAGATTAAGACACTTAGAGAGTAGCGATACCCCGCGCCGGGAAGTCAACCGAGCGTGGAGTATCGCCGAGACTCCGCATGCCGAGTCGCCTCACCGAGGGGGTATGCGCTCTCTGAACCTGTGTACCGACTATTACGCTATTACGCTCTATTACGCCACAAATCAATCGGAATTTAGCTAAAAACGGCCTAAAACACGCCAAAATTGATAAAATTTTGACAATTTCTGCTATTACGCGACTATTACGCGTATTATTACGCGTGCTATTACAGATAGAGTGAACCGACTATTACGCGAGTGCATACCCCCTCGCGCCTCACTGGTAGCGCTTCGGTTTATTGACAGAGCCCTGCACTTCGTCCACAATTTTTTGCGATCTGTGGCGACCGAGTGCAGAGACAACAACTGGGGTGAAGACCTCAGCACCAACGTGCAGACGTCGTACAGAGAGACCCTCGAGATGCACCACGGATGGATCGCGCAAAAACTTTTCGGGGTGAGAGGAAAAACAAACAAACAATCAAACTGGAAGCTTAGACAAAACACGCGCCAATCGACTTGACATGAAACTTCTATCCGCAGGTCTTATCGAAAATGATACCAAAACGAAGCCAGCTCATCAAAGCTTTTGCTCTAAGCAAGGAAGAGGAAGTCACAGAAGAGAAAAAACAAGTTATTATAGAGGAATTGGAAAGGTTTCTTGTTGTTTTGAATACGAACCTGACCGTTCTAAGCAAATTTTATGATGATTTTAAATTGATGCCAGGCAACGCGAAATGTGCGTAAAATTGCCGAGAGGACGCGTCCATGACTGATCAGTATTATTGCCGCGTTTTATGTGATTTGACTCGGGTTTTTATTGTCATGTTATTATTGTGATCGAACGCCCCTGTGATTAAGGTATGGTTGTGGTGACTGATCTAGTGTCGTCTGTCAAACTTTCCCATTAAAGTGTGTGTGTGTTGAACGCAAAAATGGAAACCTCTGACCGCGCCCGCGGGCTAGGCCACCCCTTTCGCTCAGCAGCCGTCGAGACCTCGGGCGGCGAGAGACTCTGCGCGCCGCGCGGGGTATCGCCACTCGAGGCGGGGACCACAGAAGACTGTCTAGCTGTGGCATCGGGCAGCCGCCCGCTTTGCCTTGCTTTGCCCCTCAGATACAGTGGCTGGGGCTGGCACTACACTCTAAAGTCGGAGTGCCCTGAAACTGGGCGCCTTTGTCGCCGGCCCCACTTTTTAAGGGTGCCAATTGTCGTCCAGTTTCTGGGCACCTTTGTCGCCTAGTCTCGGGGTGGACAAAGGAACCTTCCTTCACCCATGGCTCAGCAGCGTTTAAGGTGGCAAAGGTGTCCAGAATCTGGGCACGTGAGTCGCCCAGGAACTAGACACCATAGTGCATTGCATGCTCTACCATGGGAGAGGGCCTATTGCAGTATGATTTGTGCACCTCGAGACTGGGCGACAAAGGTGCCCAGAAACTGGGCGACATTTGGCACCCTAAAAGGTGGGGTGGGTGACAAAGGCGCCCGGTTTCAGGGCACTCCATGCTTAGAGTGCAGATGCCTGCTCTGCTCAGCTAGCGCGAGTGAATCTTTTGTGTCATGCGGTGTTTCAACCGAGGATTGGCCTGAGAGATCCTCTTCCCACGCGCACCCTCAAACACCAAAAACGACAAACAACAACAACAACAACAAAGAAACTGTCATAAATGGAAATTTAATTCCATTCCAGCAGCGAGCTGGGAAACAGGTGGACACGGCGCTGTCTGGACTGCTGCTGCTGCTACTGGACGCCTCGCAGTGCAGGGGCAGGGCGGGGCAGGGCGGCCTCTCCGGTCGCACGTCCTTCCCCTGCCAAGGCGAAAGGCCTAAAGGCCGCTGCCGGCACTGGGAGAATGACAGTGGCATCAGCCTCATCCGAGGGCAGCGTCCGAGAGAGAGAGAGAGAGAGAGAGAGAGAGAGAGAGAGAGAGAGAGAGAGAGAGAGAGAGAAAGAAAAAGAGAAAGAGAGAGAGAGAGAGAGAGAGAGAGAGAGAGAGAGAGAGAGAGAGAGAGAGAGATTCGCACGCAGCCCCGTCGAAGCAGACCGCGCGCTTAATTAAAATCATTGATTGCGTCGCCTAATTGCACTACGGGGAGGTCGAATGAACCGTCAGGCGGCGGCACGCCACTTGGAAGGCGACGCGGGTTCGAATACCGGCCAGGCCGATTGGATTTTTTTTTCTTTTGCGAAGAAAAAGAAAAAAACCTAAAAATAAATAGTAGCGGAGTTTGATTGGTCTGCGGCGCCCTTTCCTTTCCCCGAGAGCTCCGCGCTCTCCGCTCATTCCCCGCTCTGCTTCATCGGGGAGCCGCTTTAGCAGTGCCTCAGCAGCGCCGTGATACCATCGACATGGCGATTTCAAAATGATGTGACAGTGACCACCGCGGCGCGGCCGCGCGGCAGTACGTACGGCATCGGGCGGATTCCGCGCCGTGCGTCTGTCTCCCTCGCACCCCCGCGGGACGCCCCGTGAGTGCGAGAGAGACAGAGCGGCGAAAGCACTAAGCAGGCTGCAGTACGGCACCGCACGACCGTGCCGTGACGCGGCCCTCTGCGTGCACGCGGTCCTTGGTGTTCGCGTGGTCCTTGTAGGGGAACAATGCGGACGCGTACTTTAGGGCGACCCGCCGCCGTCTCTCACGAGTGCATCGTCCTGGCGACCGCCGCACAGTGGGCCAGAAGACCGGTGGAGGCGGCCGAAACTCTAGACGCATTTTGAGCTCCAGAGTCGCGAAATGGGACTCAAACCGAACGTGTGACCCCACCAATAGATTGCTCTCCGAACGAGGAATCCATTGGTGGGGTCACACGTTCGGTTCGAGGCCTGTTCAGCGACTCTTGAGCTCAAAACGCGTCTAGAGTTTTGGCCGCCTCCACCGGTCTTCTGGCCCACTGTGCGGCGCGTCCTGGAGGACGTCGAGTACTACCCCTGCGTGGCGTTCCGAGCAAAAAAAAGGGAGAAGGAGGCTGTTCTAATTGGCTGACGCCCTGCGGCCCTGCGGGCTGAGAGTCGCTCTGTCTCTCTCGCACCGAGCCGGGGCGCCCCACGAGTGCGAGAGAGATAGAGCGACGAAAATGACGACTCTCGGAATCAGTCTGCAGGGCGCGAACGAAGTGGCGGCTGTGCTTTTAACTGGCCGAGTCGTGACACTCCCTAATTACGCGTCGTTATTTCGGCCATTGTTGCGCATGCGGAGCGACGCGGAGCACCGCGAGTCAAGTGCGCTAATTCAAGTAACGCGCGTACATGACAAGGAGCCGATCGCGCCGATCAAGGTCCGGCCGAAAATGATCGGGGCGGCCAATGACAGCCAATGGCAGCCGAGCGCGGTGAGGCAAGACGACGTGCCGCCACTCCGCTCGGCGTGCCGACTCACAGTGGGCCAGAAGACCGGTGAGGCGGCCGAAACTCCAGACGCGTTTTGAGCTCCAGAGTCGCTAAATGGGACTCGAACCGAACGTGTGACCCCACCAATGGCTAGCTCTCTGAATGACGAATCTATTGGTGGGGTCACACGCTCGGTTCGAGTCCTGTTTAGCGACTCTGGAGCTCAAAACGCGTCTAGAGTTTTGGCCGCCTCACCGGTCTTCTGGCCCACTGTGCGACCGTCTCCGTCGCACCACCGGCGGCGAGCCTGCAGTCTGATTCCGAGGGTCGTTTTCGTCGCTCTGTCTCTCTCGCGCTCATGGAGCGTTCCGTATAGGTGCGATAGAGACAGAGCGACGAGAACGACTCTCGGAATCAGTCTGCAGGGCTGCCGCGGCGAACACTCCCGAGCACCCTCCGAACGCAGCCGAGGCCGAGGGAAGTCCCGAGTGGCGGGCTGGCCCACGGCGGCCTGGCGGGTCGGCGCCGCCGGCGCGCGGGAAAATGACAGGTCAGCGAGCGTACCTGTCAGTGGCCGCCGCCGGCCGCCGCTCGCCGAACCGCGCGCTCCCCTACACTCAGGCCAACACACACACACCGGCCAAAAAAAAAAACAAAAAAACTTTTAAAAACACCTAAAAAAACCTAGAATACGGGGCCTTACCAAAACGTTGGCAGGACTGAAATCTGCGACGAGTATAATTTCTTCCGACGGCGATATCTCGAGAGTCGTTTCTTGTGGGCTTCCGCCGGGGGTGCCACCACTACCAACTTGAACCGGAGCGCCGTTTGCCCGGCCGGCTTGTAGCTAGTGTGTGACAGTTGGCACCGGTCCGCCTGACGTAATGGAGCAGCCGATCTGCTCTGGCAGGAAGTTGCGGAGGGATTGGCACGCCTGCTCATTTCCATGGGGGGGTTCGTCGCGAATTGGACTGGGTCATTTATTCTGGAGCGCGTTGCTGTTGTTGTTGTTGTTGTTGTTGTTGCTGTTGTTGTTGTTGTTGTTTTTCCGGAGGTCGGCGGCAGGAGGAAGCGGCTCGGCCTACCCCTTCTAATCCGGAGCGGGTCTTGTTTCGGCAGGAAGGCCACCGCTAACCAGAGGCCGTGTGTAGTACGTGAGCAAAGACGACGGCGCCTGTCTGTCTGTCTGTCTGTCTGTCTGTCTGTCTGTCTGTCTGTCTGTGTGTCTGTGTGTCTGTCTGTCTGTCTGTCTGTCTGTCTGTCTGTCTGTCTGTCAGTCTGTCTGTCGTCTGTATCTGTCTGTCTGTCTGTCTGTCTGTCTGTCTGTCTGTCTGTCTGTCTGTGTCTGTCTGCCTGTCTGTCTGTGTCTGCCTGTCTGTCTGTCTGTCTGTCTGTCTGTCTGCCTGTCTGTCTGCCTGTCTGTCTGTCTCTTGCACTCATGAGGCATCCCGGCCCGCGTGAGTGTGAGAGAGACAGACCGACGGGACAGCCTGCCTGCGTGCTGGGCAAGACTGGGCTGGGCAAGGCTGGGCTGGGCTAGTCTGGCACAAACCCAGTGACATTTTCTTCTGCAGCGAGCGGCAGCACTGAGAATCGTACGAAATCGACGACTAAAAGTGGAGCGGCCCGGCCGGCGACCCGGATGCGAGCACACTGTGGGCATTCCCTTCGCCGCGCTGCTGCCGTGCAGCCGCGCAGCAGACTGATTCCGAGAGTCGTTTCCGTCGCTCTGTCTCTCTCGCACTCATAGGGCGACCCGTGTAGGTGCGAGAGAGACAGAGCGACGAGAACGACGCTCGGAATCGGCATCGGTCTGCAGATGCGGCACACCGGTAATATGTATCATCGGGACGCGGAGCCGCCACGGCGCGGCGGCCGAACTGCGACGCCATCTAGCGGGGAAATGCGAAAGGTTACGCGGCGGCGGACAAGTGCAACTCGGACTGCACTGCAAGAAACGCTAACGGCCCGCCAAACGTAGCCTGGACCGCGCCAAACGTGGCCTGGACCGCGCCAAACGTAGCCTGGACCGCGCCAAACGTGGCCTGGACCGCGCCAAACGTGGCCTGGACCGCGCCAAACGTGGCCTGGACCGCGCCAAACGTGGCTAAAAGTGGTCTAGACCACACCAACTGATGCGGTCAAAATGGCACCCATTTGACCACACCGACCAGTGGTGCGGTCTAGACCACTTTTGGTTTTTCAGTGTAGGCCTTACAAAAAAAGCAGCTCGTTTTATAAACAAAGTATTTTAGGCATACATAAGCTTACATAGAAGATACTTCCTATTTTACGAACTATTTCTTCGTATAATAGAGTAAATCAGTTCGTACATGCTCAACATATTTGGAAAGGTTTTAAGCGTGTGACGGTGGGCCATGTTTATCCTTTTCCAAAAACACAACTATTAAAAAATTTTCATAAATTGTTGGATTTTTTTTGTAACTTTTGTTGCGGTTCGGATAAAAAAGTTTTCTTTCTCGAGGATTATTTCCAGGAAATGACACGTTTGCGTCCATCGCGGAGAGTGTAGCTCATGTACTCGGACGGACGCGGCGTGTAGTTGTCCGGTAATGCCAACACTGCCGTCAGCAGACTGATTCCGA